TAAATCTGCATCCCAGGCCAGTGTCCTGGGCCTGGAAGCTAGCGCCCCGCACCCATCTGCCTGCCATTTGTGCACGTACCTCTTAGAGATGGTACCAAGATCTTAAGCCAATTTAGCCTTAGCTCCTATCTGATACCCCTTGCCCAGGATAACACTGTTTACGTGGGAACATTTTCCTTAAATATTTTGGCAGTATAGGCTTGCTTGAATCACTGGTTTAAGCCGGTTATGAACATGTGTTTTGTAGATGAGGGAAATTCGGCTGGTGGAGAAGTGTTTGCAAGGTGCATAGACATATGTCAGGCCCGTGGATGATTATCCAAGCTTTCTGGGCATTGGATGAGAAGCAGGCAAGACAAGTGTTCAGTGGGAGCTATACTGCATGGTATTTTGTAGTGATTTTTATGAGTTCAAATACCTTTTTGTGCATTCTCTTTTATGAATACAGGAATCTAGGTCTTTGATTGAAGATGTCTTTTAAAAATCTTATTGCACATTAGTGCTGATCTGTAGGCTTCACCTGCATGTGTCATGCATGTGTATACCCTGTTCTGAAAAAAATTAGATTTTTTTTTCTCATTCTTTGTTTGGTCAAAGCTGGCAGGATGGGCTACAGACAGAGGAGGGTATTTTAGTTAGGGTAAGCAACACCATTTGCTGTAACAAACAAGCCCAATACAAACATTCTGTCTCAGTACAAAATGTTTCTCACTCACTGCTTAGTCCAATGTAGAGGTGGCAGTGAGTTGGGTGGGGCGGTCTGGGGACTCTGGCTTGTTCTACCTAATGTTTCTGCCATCCCCTTGGACTTCAGAATTCTCCACTGGACCCTGCATGTTTGTCTGGGAGTTGGATAAACAGGGAAAATGGGAAAGGTCTTTTGGGAGGTCTTAGAAGGTCTTAGAAGCAAAGCCTGGAAATGGTGTGTGTGCCTGTCTGTCCACATTCCACTGGCCAGAACTCAGGTCCCCTGGTCCCTCCTTACCACAAGGGGCCTGGGGAATAGGCAAGCAGTGGCCAAGGAAGAAGCAGGAATGCATGGATACAGCTGAGAACTTGAATTCTGGGAGACTGTGTAATCCCAGGGCAGAGGTGAAAGACGCTAACACGTCTGTGTTGGTGTTTTGTATACCAGGCACTGGGCTGAACACTGCTTTGCTTAGGGCAAAATGCCTCCTGATCTTCCACCCCTGTGTGATGCCAGCACATCCAGGGAGCTAACTCTGTTTGAACTGTCTAGATGTGTGTTTTATCTGGACGCATCAAGAGTTCCACTGGTTTACCTACCACCCCTTATCCCCTCAGGGATTAGGTCTAGATAAGGGCAAGCTGTTAAATTTATCTGTAAGTGCCTGCAGAGGAATCTTGTGTGATGGAAAGAAATAATTATGGTTGTGTTTTAATTAGTGTTTAATTTACTAAAATTATATGTGTACAGACCAAGTTTTTCTGCATTTCTATATTGAACTTGAATATTATTTTATTCTATATATAAAGTTAATAAACTAATACTTGTAGGAAAATATAAATAATATCTTGGCTGGGCACGGGGGAGGGGGGGGCTCACGTTTGTAATCCTAGCACTCTGGGAGGCTGAGGCAGGAGGATCACTTGAGTGCAGGAGTTTGAGGCTGCTGTGAGCTAGACTGAAGCCATGGCGCTCTAGCCTGGGAGACAGAGTGAGACTCTGTCTCAAAAACAAAACTTTTTTGCTTTGATCAGTGTTCATTCAATGCAGGAGTTAGCAGATTAAATCCTTCTCAGCGTGGGGCCCATGTACAAGCCCCCAAGCTGTGTGTGTTTAAGACAGTGCTCTAAAAGCAAAAGAGGGCCTCTGTGGTCTCTTCACAGGCATTTAACACTGTTTATGCTCCTAATTAATCACATTTCCAAGTAAACACAAATGCCCAACAGGGCCGGCTTACAGATACTATCAGCGAAATCTTTCCAAGAGCACTTAATCTTGGCACAAGTCTGATAAATCAACTGCACACAAAAGGAATTTTTATGTTCTCTATCCACTTTACAAGAGAGCATTACAAGGGTGGAATTTCATTAGGCCCAGCTTGGGCCAGAACCTACATGTATATTAAAAGAAGAGACTTAGGAAACAGAAATATCTTAGTGAAGATGAGTTTTGACTAAGATTGAAAACAAACAAACAAACAAACAAACAAAAAACCAAACTACCTTTTAACTTGATGGTCTCACTAACACAAGGGGTGGAATTAGCCCCTTGCTGCTTGCTGTTTCTTGATTTACATCATCTCATGAAATTTAAAGCAACTTCCAGGCCAGAAGACGTTGAAAGACCTATCTAGGAGGTGAATGGAGAGATGTTGACAGTCACCATTATTCTGAAGAGATCCACAGAGTCCCTTTTTTGGGGGTCTGGTACATGACTCCATAAGACTGGATACAGAAAAACAGTCTTTTACCATGAAAATCACTTCCTCTTCCACTAGCTTTTTTTGTTTGTTTGTTTGTTTTTTAGACAGGCTCTTACTCTGTCCCCCAGGCTGGAGTTCAGTGTTGCCCACTGCAGCCCTCAAGCACCTGGGCTCTAGTCATCCTCCTTCCTCAGCCTCCCAGGGATCTGGGACTATATGTGCATGCCACTGTGCTTAGCTAATATATTTTTTATGTTTTGTAGAGACAAAAATCTCGCTATGTTGCCCAGGCTGGTCTCGAACTCCTGGCCTCAAGTGATCCTCTCCACCTTGGGCCTCCCAAAGTGCTGGGATTACAGGTGTGAGCCACTGCACCCAGCTCCCATCAACTACCTTAAGTCGTTCCCTCCCACTGTTATATCTCAAGAGGCAAAGATTACGTTGCAGAAAAGAGCATCATGTTAATATAGTAGAAAATGAATCGCCGTGTGGCAAAGGTGCCCTGAGTTTAGGGCAGGAAGAACTCACTGGCTTTTCTTCAAGGTGTCTCATACGGTGCTAAGTGCCTCATGGGCTCTGTCTCCATGGTTCCCCCCAGCGGCTCAGGCCCCGTAAGGTGGTCACTGTTATCTGCATATACCTGAAGGGCAGGATAAGACTGCTTCCTCAAAGATGGGGTCGAGAGCTTGTCCCCTCCTGTCATGTCACATTGCCTGGCACACCATGGCACTTGATAAGATGGTTGCCTATCATTGAATGACGCAGAAGACTGGGTCAGGCTTAGGTAAACAGCACACTTACAACAATCACAGGCTGCTACTATCTTGGCTTACCTGATTTTATAACCCACACAGGGCTATGCACTCCTTATCAGGGCTGAAAAGAAAAAGGTAAACAGGATAAGAAATAATTAGCGTAAAATCTGTTCATTTGGAAACTATCAGAACTGGTATTAGTCATGACATGGTCATCTCTGGCAAGCATCTGGGTAAACTGAGGTTTTCTAGCTTCCATAGTTGCTGGTGGGTGCTGTGTATCACCCGCATTCTGATGGGTACTTTGCTCTCCAGGCAATACAAGGAACTAGTCGCAGAATTCAGGGTGCCCATCTGCTCTCCAGAGTAGAAGCCAGGCCCTTTTGGAAGAGTGATGCTGTGTTTAGACAGGATCAATACCACGCGCCGTTATGGAGCCCTGGCCCTGCCATGGGTGCAGGAGATCTGACATTGAGGTGGTTTTCACCTGTCTTTTATAAGTCTTTTATAAGCTTGCACACTTAGTCAAAGGATTGTAGTGCAGCACAATGCATGTGACACTTGTAAACCACCGAGCCAGGGACCCCAGGGGTGGGACCCTGGTTCTTCCGCATGATTTTTGAGATGGACCACAATCAGTTCAACATTCTCACCAGCAGTGGACATATTAGAACTGAGATAGAATTTCCTAGTTTTGAGTTTCCAGGAGTTCCCAAAAGGGGATGTGAGCCGCAGAATGGTAAGCCCAGGGCTTTACAAACAGAGATGCTTGGACGTGTGCTACAGGCATGCCTGGGATATTGTGGTTCTGGGCATAAAGGATGTTCATCTTGTGTTTCTCTTGTGACAATGTATGCAAGCAGCGGGGAGGATAAAGGAAGGGACAGAGTCTTTGCCACGTTGAGTGAAGTGGAATCGCTCCAGGATGGGCGTGGGCCGGGGGAGCCACAGCTTCTAAACCTGTGATGTCTCGCACAGAGGCCACCAGCACGCTGTGGCCACCGAACGCTTGGACTGTAGCTGATCCAGACTGAGATGCACTGAAGTGAAGCGTAAGATACACATGAGATTTTGATCACTTAGTAAGCATGTGGGACCATAAAATATCCCACCAATTGTATATGGACTACATGTGAAACTGATAATATTTTGGATACAGCAGCATAAGTCTAACATATATTACTAAAATTAATTTAAAATAAGTTAATCGATCACTTGCTTCTTTGCACTTTTTAGAATGTGGCTACTAGAAAAGTTAATATTGCCAAAGTGGCTCGCGTTATCTTTCTATCACACAGCCCTGTTCCTGCAGCAGAATCTTTAAACAGTTCCTGTGTGGTAGAGGAGGGAAGGAAGTCGTTTTGCAGAAAGCCCTGTGGGGGAGTGGCTTGCTTTGTTTTCCTGCGTGTAAATCTGAATTTCTTTGCTTTGAAAAAGGCTTCACCGTGGGGTTTCCTTTGCCCACTAGTAAATACATTTCAGGTGTGATGGACGCAGTCATGGCTTTGCGCCTGTGATCCCAGCCACTCGGGAGGCTGAGGCAGGAGGATCGCTTGAGCCCAGGAATTTGAGGTTGCTGTGAGCTAGGCTGATGGCACGGCACTCTAGCTTGGGGAACAGAGTGAGACTCTGTCTTAAAAAAATATATATGTTCTTCTGTTCTTTCTGGCTAGAAGCTCATTAATTTAATTATTTACCTACATTAAGAAATAGGAACAAAAGTATAAGAATAATATTAAACATATAGGTATAATAATTTGTAAGCACTTGTAGACCTCTTTTTAAATAAATATACGTTTTATATATTTACTAGAAAAATGATTTTGCTATATTTTGGCTTTTTTTTTTCTTCCAGAGATTGTCAGAAAAGTCGTAAAGAAGATGTTTGAGTCCTCAATTAATTTTGACAAGGTAATTTTTTTTATTGATGTATTTGTTGTTAAAAACACAAAGTATGAGAAAAAATTTTGATGACTCAAAAGTAAATCTTTAAACAACTGGTTATTTACTCTGTAATTTTAGTAACCTTTTTTTGACAAGAGCTTTTATGGAATATTGAGCCACCTTATGGATCCCTCTTGAAATACAGCAGAAACTTCAAAAGGAGCATTTGAAGAAAACCTTTCAAGCTGTATGTTATTGAAAAACTGAAGTTCCTTAAAAAGGAAATGTTATGCTACCTTTTTTTAGCAGATGGGAGAGAACCCCCTAACCAAGTAGAACTATTTGCAATTCCCTAGAAACAGTACTCCTTTTAAATAGATAGCCTGTTAGCAAGTAGCTTCCCATTTGAACAAGGCTTGTCGAGCACCTGCTCCATGTGCGTCCTTGGCCAGAATTGGGAGGGAGGCGAGAATGAGGGAGCTAGCCCTGGGTCTCCAGGGCTAGGAACCAGGTGGCAGGGACAGTACCTAATGAGTCAAGGAAGGAAAAGAAGGAAATAAGTAGATCTGTAAGTAACATGCAGAGGAATATAAATAAAAATAGTGAGTTCTGACCAGAAGCCCTCCCGAGAGGAGGCAACTCTGGGGCTCACTGTGACAAGGATGCTAGGAGGGCTGGAGCGGGCGGGGAGGTGCTGTGCTCATCTTCTAGGCTGCAGAAACCATCAAGCCCCTGGTTGGAGGGAAAGGAAGGAAGGTGAGTTGAGGCCGGATCATGAGAAGGCCTTGAATGCCTCTCTAAGGTGAGTGGACAGTATTTTCATAAAATATCAAGGCATCTTGCATTTCTCTGCTAAAAACCCAAGGTGCTGCCACTTCACTCGCCCGTTTGCTTCTGTGACTGACTACCTGAACGGAAGAAGGTTCTTTTGATTTTGGTTTATTATGAGTGTAGGTTGCCCATGAAACAAACAGACAAAAGTTTATTGCACTGAATGTCAGATAATGAACATGATTTAAATCTGTCAGGTTCTCAGTCCTGCAGGGTAAGGCACTATGCTCTTTCCTTCCCTGGTGTGAAGGTGGTTCCCAAGATAACCATAAGAAGATGTCCAGGTGGGCATTTTTACTGGCCAGCACAACAAATCTGAATGCTCCTGTTCCCAGTGGAGGGGAAGGCAGTTAACTCTCTCCCAGTGAGTGGTCCCCTAAGAGACTGTAGTTGCAAATGGCCATCAAATTCTTCATTTGCAATGAAATGATCTCGAGTGGAAGGGCTTAGCTAACAGCCGTTTACATCCAGCACCAGGGAAGACTACATGGAAGATGTTCCCTGGTGCTGTTCCCTGGTGCTCACAGCTGTTCCTAGGACTGTGGACAGCATTTTCATTCTTCAGTGCCACTGGTTTCATTTATATTTCTCAAACGTCACTGCCTGTCGGGCCTGCATCCCTGGCAGAATAAAATGACAGTTGCTCTTATACTTATTAACACATTCCAAATTAGCATGCCTTTAGCAGCCGGGCCTGAATGCCAACGAGTTCTGCCAAGGAATGGGTGGAGCAGGGGCCAGTGCTTCAGTCAAATCCAGGCCCTGGAGGAGGACAAGGTCCTGAGACCCCAAGGTGGCTCTGAGCTGGAGGAGCTTGTCCCCAGCAGGGTCTTAGTTGGGCAACTCCTTTGTACTTGGCTTAGGAACTCCTGTAACCTTAGTTTATAAACCTGGCTCCTGATTTCCTCTCCTTGATTTTGCAAATGGGTAAAAAGCACGGGGCTGAGGGTGACGTGGAAAGAAGTTGCAAAATAGAACCCACGTGAGTGAACTGAATGAATCCGATCCTATATGTGCCATTGGACCACGCTTTCTACAATTATCCAAGGAAGAGGGGTTTAGTTAAGCAAAGACACCAGGGAAGTCAGAGCACCTTCGCAGGGGACCTTTCAAACTGGATTTAGTCTTCGTAAACGCTGGTGTGTTAAGTCCAATTCTCTCTCAAGCAGACCCTAAGCCAGGGACTCCAGGGCGAGTCATGTATTTGGGAGGTGCAGGAAACGCTGGCTGGGAAGTGGGGAAGGCAGCCTATTATTATAAAGGGGGTGCCTGCCATAAGGCCACCTGCCCAGGGGGCGACAGAGCTTCCTGCTGTGGAGGAGCTGCAGGAACCAGGCAAAGCACCAGCATCCCCTGGGAAGGGTGAGAGCGCAGAGCAGTCTATACAGCAAGACCGCGGAGGCCCTGGCAGAGGGCTGCTTGGGGTGTGGGGACAGTGCAAAGTCCCCAGTACTTCTGACCGTCCATGGATCTGGAATAAGCCTGCAAGCACAGAGCGGAAGTAGTTGGAAGTACGAGGATCACACTGAGAAGGCTGAGGCCCTGGGGACGCAGGAGGGCACCAACAGCATCTTCATGCTGGCCAGCGCCCCCTGCCTGCAGTCCCTCGGGGACGGTCCAGCTCCCGTCGCACAAGCTCTGGGTTCCGTCTTCTGGTGAGCCCTCCGGTGGCCAGGGAGCTGGGACAGCCGAGCCCTAGCCCTTGTCACTGGGGCTCCTTCCAGTGAACTGCTTGCCTCGGGGCTGCAGAAGCATCCAGGAGTGCGGACCCTTTGTTCCTTTTCCTTGCTTTTATTTATTTATTAAAAATATGGATCGCTTCACGGATTTGCGTGTCATCTTTGCGCAGGGGCCACGCTGATCTTGTCTCTGTCGTTGCAATTTTAGTATATGTGCGGTCGAAGGGAGCACAACCTTTTTGTTCCCGAGGGTGGCCCTGACTCTGGGAGGGAGAGAAGACTTTTTCACGGATCTGCCTCCTTTCTGCACTTTAGCTGCAAATTAGAAGCAGTGCTTTAAGGTCCTTGGGCCCCTTCTTCTCCCTGACGTTGTTTTGACACTTTCTCTTTTGCATAATATGTTCATTTAACCCCGTATTCGTGGAGTGTGTAGTAGGCGCAATGCAACACAGGGGTGCAAAGATGCGAAGCACAGCCTTTCCTCCGAGAACTCGGTGGAAGAGAGGCCAAGTGATAAGACGTGTGCATGGATGTTAACGGGATCTCCACGATTTATATGCCGAGCTCCTACCCCCAGAACCTCTGAATGTGACTGTGTTTGGACATAGAATCTTCGAAGAGGTGATTTAAGCTAAAATGAGCTCATTATAGGACCAGAGTCCTTATAAGAAGGGGAAATGAGGACACAGTCACCCAGGGAAGACGACGGGAAGACACAGCAGGAAGGTGGCCATCTGTAAGCCACGGACAGAAGCCACAGAAGCAGCCCCGATGACACCTTGACCTGGAATTTTTCAGCCTCCAGAACTGTGAGAAAATAAATGTCTGTTGAAGCCACCCAGTCTGTCGTACTTTGCTGTGGCAGCCTGAGCAGACCACGCGGTAACTGGAACGCAGGATGGACACGGGCAGCTCTGACCGAGGGCTGTGAACATTAAGGAGGGGGAGAGTGTCCCTGCACTCAGGAAATCAGCAAAGACTCCACAGTGCAGCTGACCCTTAAATGAGAAATAAAACCTTACTTAGTCTTATCTGAAAACACTCAACTGCAAAGCTTCTCCATTGCTTCTTGAAGCATGATCTTAAACTGTGTCCTCTCTGTAATAACAAGAGTCACCATTTCTTGTCCACCATGTGCCAAACACTGGATTAGGAGCTTTGTATTGTTTCTACCCCTCACAATGAGGAGGTTTTGCTGCCATTGTAGATGCAAGAAAATCCTGCACTCAGAGAGGGTAAGGAGCTTGCCTGAGGTCACGGGGTGGCTAAACGGCAGAGCTGGGATTTGTACCCAGACCAGTCTAACTCTGAACTGATAAAGACACCACCAACAAAAATCAAGCTAGTTCTAGGTCACCGTGCTGTGGTCCCAACACGACCAATGTGAAGAAACAGCTCTCATCCAAGTATGTCCAGCTGTGTGCAAAAGTGTAACAGCCTCACAGCTGTACATTTTACATATTAAACTGCAAGATATTATAGTGGGTAATTATCCCCGTGCAGAAATGGTCCCATCCCAACTTACCTCTAGTCCCATGTGACCGAATCACCACTTTGCTATAAAAGGAGTACTGGGACTGAATGCAGATTGGGCCATTCGAGCATGCCTATCCCAAGCCTTTGACGTCAGAGGACCTGTGATAGATTCCACGGTCCGGATGTGGAGCCCTGGGGGAGGACAAATTCAAGGGAATAAGACTTGGAATTAGGGACCCATGAAGAAAATGAGGACCAGAAGATGAACCTATGGATTCTGAGAACCAACGCTAACCCTAGATTCCTAAAACAGGGATGATAGCTGTAGCATTCGTATAGCACATGCTATGTTCCAGGCATCCTTCCACGTGATTTACAAATGTTAACTCATTTAGTCTTCACAGGAATAGTGTGTCTTCACTGGAAGTGTTAAGGTGGAGGTGCCATGGGCCACTCTTTTATCCATCTACTTTATTGCGTGCCCACCACGTGCCAAGATATAAAAACAGGTCATGCCATGCACAGCTTGTATTGCAAAGTGCCTGGCTACATTCTCTTGGGGACCATAGCATGTGGATGAGCCGCTTCCTAGATTCTCCACGTCCTGGCTGACTGTACGTGAGGAGAAACAGGACAGCGTCACCTCCCTCACATGCTCACCTGGGGATTCTGCAGAGAAGCCTTGCAGCCTGGCCCTAGTCCAGTGCTGGCTGCTCTATTAAATAAAAGACACAAGTCCTACTGTCACAGAATGCCTGGTTTGGGGCAATTTGGGTAGATAATTTATAATAATCCCTTCCCACCGATATCCCATAAGTGCCACCCACACCTGTAGACACCTTTTCAAGGAGACAGTTCTCCCACAGCCCCCACGGCCTGCGTCTTTGTCATTTCTGCACATCATTGTCAGTAGGAACCTCAGTTTCCTTGTCACAGCTTCCTGGATTAGTTTCCGCTTGACTCCTGTCTGGATTTAGCTGGTTTGCCTCTTCCCCATTCATTTCATTCCTCAGTTACATCCTATCCCTTATCTGACACTTACTTCCTCTGAGGGCAGGTGCAGGGCGTGGGGCTCATCCTGCTGCTGTTAACGACCTCACTAGCACTGACAGTCACTGGACATCGATTTGGCACGTAGTAAATTATCAGGTCATCATACTGGGGGGGTGGGCTGTATGGATCCCGCCTGCATGTCTGCGAGAGGTGAGTAAGTGACTTAGCTACTTGTTTCCCGCCAGGTGGCACACTGCCAGGAAGAACGCACGCTCTCCTTTGTGCATGAGGAAGGTACATTCTTGCGATCTCGGCATTTAGATCCAGTGCTGTGCAAGGCAGCACGTGACCGGGATTCACTGCCTGAGGCTCACTGGGGCTCAGGGATGAGAATAACGCTAGCACGCACTATCACTCCGCCAGACACTGGTCTAAACACTTTATGTGTATCAGCCCACTTAATATACACTAAATAGTCCATGGAAAGCGCTTAGCACAGTGTAGTGTACAAATCATGTTACTTACTGCTGTTTTCTCCTGTAGTTCTCACAATGACCCCGTAAGGTACGGTCTGTGCTTATTCTCATCCCGTCTGTAAGGTTACTGAAGCTCAGGGTAACGTTGCCAGCAACACCCTGGGCCCCTTCCCCTAAGATGCTCATGTAGCTGGTCAGGGTTGGCTGCTTATTAGTATTTTTTAAAAGCTCCTCAGGTGATCATATGGGCAGCTGGAGGAGAGGATCACAGATACTAAGAGGGAGAGCCAGGATTCAAACTCTGCATCACACAGATGATAAACTCATACCTGTATGACAACTGGAGTGGAAAGGGAAACGGTGAAAATGCACCCAGCTCCACAGAGGTGATTCTTTTTACCCTACTAAACATCAGACGTGTCAAAGCAGACTGACTCTTGTGGCCGGGAGGAATTAAACACAAAAGAATCAGCTGATTGTTATAGTTTATAGGTGGTTTTGCCCTGGCCACAGCCCAGAACAATCCATCTTTGCAGCCAAGCAAGGACAGGTTTCCCAAACTTGCCTCACTGTAACCATCACCCCAGACAGATTACTGGCCTTCCCCAAATCTGCTCTAGGGGCAGAGCCCAGAAGTCAGTGTTTTTTTACATGAACTTGGAGGAGATTATGATTGGCGAGTTCAGGTACCTGTGCCCTGGGTGGTAACACACCCGTGGCCCCTCACCCAGGAAGACAGGTGGGGATTGTTCATGATGTCCATGTGACCCCAGGGGCAGGTATATCTGAACTGCCTCCCAAGGCAGTTCTGACCCAGCATTTTGTATGCTTCATTTAAAAGTGATCAGTATTACAAACATGGTTCTTTCAGATCTGTGAAGAGCTGACAACTAAGGCAATAGTTTCCAAACTTTTGAATGTCCTGGACCAGAAAATTTCAAACAAGTGATCTAAAAGCCAGGCACAGTGGCTCACACCTATAATCCTGCCAGTCTGGGAGGCTGAGGCAGGATGATCGCTTGAGTTAAGGAGTTCAAGACCAGCCTCAGCAAGAGCAAAACCTTATCTCTACTAAAAATAGAAAGAAATTAGCTGGACAACTAAAAGTATATAGAAAAAATTAGCCAGGCATAGTGGCACATGCCTGTAGTCCCAGCTACTGGGGAGGCTGAGGCAGAAGGATTACTTGAGCCCAGGAGTTTGAGGTTGCTGTGAGCTAGGCTGATGCCACAGCACTTTAGCCTGGGCAACAGAGTGAGACTCTGTCTCAAAAAAAAAAAAAATTTATCTAGAAAATGACATAATGCCACCCAGTTTTATTTTGCCACATAAGGACATTTAAAATCAACTGTAGCAATAACAACTTTGTTCCCCTTCATACATATATCACCAAAAAAGGCCATTCTTATAATTTGAGCAAATTTAGCTTTATGGAAAACACACTGCACTTGTTTTATTTCTCTTGCTTCACTGTGGGTTGGTCTGTCCTCATCACTGACTGCCCAATCTCTGGACTGATGTCTAGGAATCACTGGTCTAAGGTACCAGCCCCCAGCCCTTCAGTTCCTCAACTGATCTGGTTTTGATTGAGTGACTGTCACAGCCCAGAACCCATGCTGGGAGAGAATAGTGAGCAGGGCAATCATGGTTCCTGCCTCCTGGATTATGGCTTGGAGAAGATGGTCACCTGGGAGCCAGTTACTTTAAATGTGTGTCAACTAAAGAAATAACAAGGGTCATAATTCGGAAAGGAGACCTTTATTTCTCATAAAGGGTTGCAGCCTGTGGGTGGCCATCCTGGCAGGCTGGAAAGCCAAGCCCTTGGCCAGAAACAAGCCAGCAACACGTGCTTCAAGGCAGGGACAATGGGAATAGGAATTTATACTAGGTGGGATGGCCAAATATACATATTTAACAAACTACAGGAGTCAAGAATATTTATGAAAGGAGAAATATGCACATACACAGTGGAGCTTTATGCCCTTCTATGAGGTCTATGTTCACAACATGGCGGCCCTCTTATGTCAAAAGGTGAAGCAAAGACATGAAAACCCTCTCTTCACATGCTCTATAGACTGGTGAAAACCACTCCTTGGTTGGTGGTCTTTTATCAGGAAAGAACTCAGGTTAATTATAGTGCCTAAACCACAAATAGGGAGGAGTAGATGGTGAGACTGGTTTCTGTTTAGCCCTAAGGAACTAAAGCCTGACAGCAAGGGAGAGGGTATAATGAGGTGTGTTGGACCTCCATCCCACCATGGCTGGGGACTCAAGTTTTAAGGTTCCTCCAGAGTGCCCTTGGTCAAGAGGAGAGCTCCGTTCAGTTAGTCGGGTGGCTTAGGATTTTATTTTCGTTTGCATGGGTCAAAGGGTAAGTATAGGGTTCCCTGGCAGGAAATAGGGATGTACAGCAAACCCAGACTTCCAGGAGAAGACAGCACTTGAGTTTCATGAGGGCAAGGAGGCAGAATGGGAGAGCCAGAGTGAGGAAGGGGAAGAGAGCACATGGTGATTTCTGGGGCCAAGTGCAGTCAAGAAGCCTGAGTACCTGAAGCCAGGATTAGGTAACATAGGACCACACATAGAAGTCTGGATTAAAAATGGCGGGAATCCATTGAATGCTATTAAGCAAGGGAATAACACCATCCGATTTTCATTTTAGGAAGGACACTTCAGAAAATATTTTGGGCTCTTGGGTTCTTGGCTGGTTCTCTATTTTATGAAGGTGACATGGTTAGTGTGTTAAATAAGCATTTGTAACTTCCCCTCTAATTCTCCTCTCCATAACTGATTAGCATGCTGATGAAGAACCTTTCATTGCTGGGCTCGGTGGTGGCTCATGGCTGTGATCCTAGCACTCTGGGAGGTCGAGGCTGGACAATTGCTTAAGCTCAGGAGCTTGAGGTTGCAATGAGCTTCGATGACCACTGCACTCTATCCCTGGAAACAGAGCAATACTATGTCTCCAAAAACCAAAACAAAAAGAAACTTTCATGAAATACAAATATAATGTAAATGTAAATAAATGTAAATTCTAGAACTTGCTCAAAACAGTTTCTCTAAAGCACGTTCAAGTTTTATATTCCTTTCTTGTGTCTATCCTTCTAGCTCTTGATTTTCTCTGCATAGGATATTAATGTTCTGGGTTGTGTTTGATCACTCATGTGCCTTTTTCTGTTTTCTTAATGCATGCTGCCTCTGCCAAACTCAAACTCCTCACCTGCATTGACCTCTACAGCCAGAAAATTTAATCTTGTCTCTAAAGGTAAAGTCCTTGTCTGCTGTTTCAAGTTACTCTTTGTCTAAAGCCAGCGAGCAGCCTTTCTATTCTTCACTGTTGTCTTCACTGTGGTGGTTTTTAAATTATTTGTTTCATCTTAGTTTTTGCCATAATCTTTAATCTTTTAAGCGACACAGCTCTGTGCATTTAAATCTTGGTCTTCAATATAATCTATGAAGCACTCCAAGATCTTGGTGTATCAGAAAACAATTTAAGTACTGCCAGACATTGGCTAGACTTCAGCCTAGAAGTGAACTCTTGAAATGATGTATCTTGGTCCTGCATTTGGACATCTTACTGGGGGTTGAAAGGAAGATAGTAACCGCTTGGTCCCATGGTATAATAACTAAATTTTCTGCTTCCTCTGTTTCAAGGAGCTTCAAGATGGGGGTGGGGGGAGAATATACACACACACACACACACACACACACACACACATTAAGATTCAACTCATGGTGGCAAATAGGCTCAAAAATGAAACATGTACACTGTGAAACTTTGTACTTATTATTCCGTGTTACAGTATGTGCTGTTTCTTGTGTTTGAATTGCAGATCCTCAACTATGAGATCGGGGTTATTATATACACTCTCCTGGGACTGCTCTTTGTCATCCTGATGCCTCTGGTGGGGTGTTTCTTTTGTATGTGTCGTTGCTGTAACAAATGTGGTGGAAAAATGCACCAGCGACAGAAAGAAAATGGGCCCTTCCAGAGGAAATGCTTTGCGATCTCCCTCTTGCTGATTTGTATAATTATAAGGCAAGTAGAATCCTGGGCAATAGAGAATTGTGTTTTAGGGTGATGGGGAATGTCTCATGTTTTTAACTGTTAAACCTACGAGTTTAACGCAAAGCAGAACAACAGCAACAAAATGCCACAGAACAGAAAAGGAGGAACAAAAGTGCTTGTTGTCTAGGGTGATTCAAAAAGATGTCATTCTCACCAGACATGAACTTTGTAACGAAGCCTCCCTAAGTTAAGTGATGAGCCAGCCGTTTGGTATTTTTCCCTCTTGATGGTATCCTGACATATCCTGGCCTGCGGAAACCATGCATCTCCTAGATGGCTGTTTGGAGACAAGGCAGCGTGCAGGAAGCCAGAGCCTGTTTTACTTAGTGATTTGCTAGTTGAGCCCAAAGGAATCTTGAGGGATGGATGCAGTCCCTGAATTTGGAAACTTGACAATATTGTAGAATGCAATTAACTTTCTAATAATAAGCCCCATTTTCTTGAATTTGCTGTTAATCCACTACCCTCTCTTGATGTCTGAAACACACTTGATGATTTAGGATGTTTCTGCTGCAGCTTCTATTACTGCAAAAAGTTTTCCAGTTGACTGACAAATCAGAAATACATTCCTTTTAAGATGATGGTGTTTTGTTGAGTCAAAATCTCATTCCTCAGCGGAGGAATGTGCATCATGATACCCGTCCCCTTGTTGTGATATTTGGTTATTATATTCCTCATTCATTCAACCAGTGTTTCATACGGTGACAAAAGTAAAGTTCCTCCTACATGAATAATGCTGGGCCTCATGGAGATACAGGGACAACAAATGCTGGCAGTCGCCATGCTCCTTGCCATTTCTCCAAATACCACATTTGCTCCATAGCCATAAGATTTTTCAAGTTTTATCAAGTAAGTAATATTCGGGCCTTTAAGCAGAAAACAGCAAGGCCTACAAGTAGAGGTTCCAGCTGCAAACCTAAGGAGAATAGACTAAGGGTGGCCAGCAGCAGGGGTCTGGTAAGATACGTGGTCTGGGCTGGCCATTCATTGGCATGCATCGAAAAGGACTGGGGAGCTCTCGGCGTGTTGATACAAAACAGTTGCCAAGAAAGTTGAAGTGAGAAAAGCAGATTGCACACCATGTGCAGAACACAGCAACTATGATGAAAACAGAATGGGAAGGTCGCACCAGCACTTGGTCGTATTTGCATAGAGCAGATGTGAAAGAGTTGACAAGAAACCAGCAACAGCAGTTGCCTCTGGAAAGGAAATTGAGGGTCGGAGAGAGGAAGGGAGGGAACTCCCTTCTTGCTGTAGCTAGGCTTTTTGTCTCTTTTGAATTATGTACTAGGCTCGGGTATTATTTACTGAGTTAATTAAACTAAAACTTAAACTTGAATAGCAACAAAATCCCCACAACAGACAAAAGCCAGTGCATTGTCACTTCTTCCAGTGCAGTGATTATTTAAGCAATGACACACTTTTACTGAAGCTGGTGGGATAATAAACCTTAAAAATACATGTGTGCAAACAGGATCCAAGTGAACGTGTTAGCCTTCATGGGCTGTGGGTTGATGAGGGAGTTCCTTGTGTTTTCTCTGTGAGATTGGGTGTAGCAGGCATCTCTCTGTCTCTCTTTTTCTGTATCTGTGTCTATCTCTCTCTTTATGTCTCTAAGAATAGTTTGAATCTTCACCTTAGATTATGGATAAGCAGCTTAGGACCAGGTCAGTGGTGATTCCACATGTTCCTGTCTCTCGGCTTTGTGTCTGCTACACTCTCAGACACGCACACCCCCCTGCAGCTGTAGGCGTGGTCACCTCCTCCCCAGCTACCAGAAGAATGTTAGTTACAGCCCAAAGACCTGCCAGACCCAGCTGGGATCTTGGATCCCTGTGCATTTCCTATAAGCCTGACACTTTAGTGCTTCATTCATCCAGAGACGTGGACAGCCTGTGTCTCCCCTTCCATACACCCTGGACATTACAGACGAGACTTTGATGGGAAAGTGCCATCTGCAAATGTTGCCCTTAGGGCTTCTTGTTAGAGTGATTACTTACCTAACAAGTTAGTAGCTTTCACTTTGATGTAAATATATACATATTGTAATTTCAGGAAAATCCTTCATTACCTAAATAAATGTTCACATACATAATAACACATTTTCACTTTTTTAATGAAGCATATATTCTGTATTGGATTTCTATTTTTAAAATTGAATTTTTATTTGCAACACATATAATTATGTGTTATGTATGTCATAGTTCACTGTGAACTGAATCATTTACATGATGAGGGTGTTTTGTTTTGTTTTGTTTTGTTTTGTTTTGTTTTGTTTTGTTTTGTTTTGTTTTGAGACAGTTTTGCTCTGTCGCCCGGGCTAGAGTGCAGTGGCATCATCATAGCTCGCTGCAACCTCAAACACCTGGGCTCAAGCAATCCTGCTGCCTCAGTAGCTGGGACTACTAGTGTGTACTACCACGCCTGGCTAATTTTTCCATTCTTTTTTTGTAGAGACGGGATCTTATTCTTGCTTAGGTTGGTCTTGAACTCCTGAGCTCAAGCGATCCTCCTGCCTTGGCCTCCCAAAGTGCTGGGATTGCAGGCGTAAGCCACCATGCCCAGCCTACATTATGTTTAAAATCCCCAAATATATAAACAATAAACTTACAAAGTTAAAAATAAACTTGGCTTCCATTTACATATAAAATGAATGCTTTTTTATTGTTGAGAGTTTAGACTCACTAAACCAATTTGGTTAAATTTTTTCTTCTAAGTATATTTTAGTTTAGAAAAATCTTTTTTAAAAATACATGCTGTGATACTATAGCCTCCTACACATTCACTGAAAAGTTTTCTTCTACCCAAGTAAAACATTCATTTGAAAATCGTCATTTTAGATTTCAATATAATTAAGCCAAAGTTGATCAACTGTTTGAGGTTAAGTAACAAATTTAAAACTAGCTTGATTTCACATAGTACATTGAAGTTATATATCAATTATAAATAGGTCTAAATGAGAATAGTATGAGTTTTTCATTTTTTTTTTGTTTGTTTTGCTTACCTTAAATTCAGACAAGAAGTTTAAACTTCTTTGCCTTGAACTTTTTGATTTTCTATAGCTATTTTGATGTCTTCCTTTTGAAACCCTTATTGGTTTGCAAGTATCTTGAACATCATGATGTTGTTTGCCAGTAATCAAAGCTAGCCAGGAAGATTAAAGATCTGGGGAAAGTGAAGCTTTCTCTATTATGATTAGACAAAAAAGGAGAAGAAAGTATGTCAACAAAATTAGAAGATTAGGTAAAAGTAAGAGGGGAGGGAATGTCAACAAAATTAGAAGGCAGAAAGAGAAAGGAAGGAGGTGCTAGTGGATTTCCCTCTTGTTTATGAAGAGCCCCTAGTTTACATTGACTTCAGCAGAGATTGAATACTAATGAGAAATAATCTTTGTGTGTGATCTTGTAGAAACAATTCTTTCAGAAACCCAGAGTGCTTGCCTTTTACTGAGCTCAATTCTACTTCGTGACTCTCAATGTTACGATCTTTCATTGGAGTTGGTTTTAAAATTAGCCTTGAGTACTCTAATTTTTTCATCCATCCTTCTTTGTTTAAAAAAATTTAAAGCTTTTTTTTTTGAGTATGTGTGTCGAGGGGAGAAGGCATAGGTGTTACGAAGAAATATTCTGTAGCATGTGTGGAATATGTGTGGTCTTGTTTTTTCTCTGAGCTTTTCCTGAAGGCAGCTGTGGAATGTCAGAGAGACATTCCGGAGACCCTGACATATGTTTATGTAGTCTGTCTGACTGTCAGCAGAAGATTGAATTTCCACCTTCGGCTGGAAACTGATTAAGCAGATGTGTCTTACTCCAGAAAAAGCCAAGTCTCCTGTCCTTTCTTTCTTTTCTCTTATCATCACTACCTTTTTCAGAGTTTCAGAAAAGTTATGGAAAAAAAGAAGAACAACCATATCTTGACTTCTGTGTATTTCTAAGTTTCTAAGTATGCTAAGTCAGTTTTGCTAATAATCCCCGTGGTGAATTGAATCTCTCATTTTCAGGAAGGTGGCATTTTCAAAGTTCATTTTTTATTACAAAGTGATTGCCAATTCCTGATGTGGAGGCCACAGGTTGCAGAAAGAAAATTGAGCTAGATATATATATATAGAGATAGCATGTTTGAAAATCATGAGGCTTTCTTAATGTGAATGAGGTCTAGTTATTTAAAATTGAAATTTAAAAATTACCTTTAAAAAAAAAAAAGATCAATTACACACTTAAAACACCTATTTGACATTCATTGTCAATTTCATTGTCAGTAGAAATTGGTAGAAAAAATGGCTACAAGTTTTAAAGTTTTTTAGTCTTACTCTATAAAAACTTTAAGGACTTATAAGTCTATATGTGAGGAAATTCATTTTTTGTCATAAAATATAGAAGATACAAGGCTAACATGCCATAAAAATAAAAATTCCTATCTTCTGCTAAAAATTTCAAGAGATTTTATTGTACTGCATAAAAACACATGTCTTTGATATTTAAAGGCATTTATGTCAAATACCAGAAAGCTGGTATTCACTGAAATTTTATTCCCTTTTTGTGTTAGGTAAATTTTTCTCGGTATCCTCATATCCTAATAGTTGACTGGTGGCTGTTAAAAAATAACATAGGATTCTTTTGCTTAGAAAATCATATGAATTAATAGTATCTAAATCAATAAGAAAAAGCCTAACTTCTTTATTTTCTATTTGTGTTTTAATAGAAGGTTTCTATTAGAGATTGCAAATGGAGACCATCAATGGGTCTGCATAATATTTAAACCTTTTTTTTTTTGTATTAGTTGTTAATATTTAAAAATTAGGAGATTTCACATAAGAATCCAGATTTCCAGAGTGTTGCGGATAATGGGAAATTCTGGCAATATTGGCCTGCCATCGTGGTGGCCCTTTTGAGACCTGCAGCTTTGACTTCGCCCCACGACATCCTTTTCCCTTTGTGCTTTCTGCCTGCCCTGTGGTTATTTGGACTTGTTATCTTCAATTTGAATATAAAATTTACACTGTGCATGGGTCAGAAACTCAGCTTTGAAAGTCACTAAATTCTATTCCATAGTTCTGTTTAGTATTTTTTTTCCCTTCTTTTTTTTTTGAGATACTGTCTCACTCTGTTGCCCAGGCTGGATTTGAACTCCTGGGCTTAAGCAATCCTCCCACCTCAGACTCCTAAGTAGCTGGGACTACAAGTGCATGCTTCTGCACCTAGCTTAGTTTTTTTTAAGTATCAGTTCTTTTATTTTAATTGGATTCATTGTTGATTAGCAGAAATGTGGGTCTTTTTAAATGTGTAGCACTGAAATTCGGTGTTGTGTTGAACACCAGTGTTGAATTGAATGTGATATTGCAATTCATCTTACTGACTGATGATCTTGTGAATAAAGGCATTTATTCAGTAGAGGAACAAAGACAGTTTCTGACTTAGACACTCCAAACACATGGCCAATCTTCTAAATAGACCAAATGAGACCAAAGCCCAGTCCTTAAACTCATCTTTGTCTAGCACCCACAGTGGACGAGACTGCATCATGCAAAGGGGACAAAGAAGCAGTTGCCACCTCTTTTTAGAAAAACTAAGCATAGGTAGAAATAAAGACAAGATAGAGCATAAAGTGAGAAATACCCCATAACGATTGGAGGGAGAGCCTTCTGGAAGTTCAAGGCAAGGAGGTGCTTCTCCCTTCTGGACATGGCAAAGGGGTCAGTGGAAGTGGACTTGGACTTGCTGTTGCTTCCCAGTTCACCTGGACTTCTTACACGGCAGAATGGATCTGAAGCATGATGAGTGACATGCCAGGGAAAGAGAGCAAGGACCCCTAGTGTGAATGTCAGGTACATTCAGGTGGTGATCCTGACTGGTCATGGTATAGAATATGTTTTGAACTTGGCACAGTACGTAAAGTTCCAGGTGCATTAATGTGATTCATTAATCAATGTGTACACACACGTATACACACTCATATATGTGTGTGTTTCCTCTTCGCACAACTCCAACATCATGATCTGGGGCCATTTGACCTTATTTGGCATGAGTGCAGTCATTCAATAACGTATTGCCGTGGTGTAACATCTGCCAATGCAAATTTAGGACACCTTATAAGGTAGTCATTCCAAATGGCACAGAATATCATTAGCATTTATTTTTTAAGATTACATCAGAATTAATGCAAACTTAAAAATCTTAGAGAATTTGTGGACATCCAGTACCCTTCTCCTTTATAGCTTGAGAAGCACTAATCTAAGTTAGATTGGATCTGATTCATTTAATTGTATCTAAAGATCCAAACTGATGTTTTCAGTTCTGAGGTGCCAACTGAAGCTGACAGAAGGAAAGTGACTTTCTCTAGCTTGCATATTGGGTTGGTGGCAATAGAGAGACTAGAACCTTAATCTCATGTTCCTCTTGTAGTACTCATTCTACCGCAATATAGCAACCATAGAAATACTGCTCAAGGTTGTGTTATACAGACTTTTTTGGATTATTTTGGGAAACCCAATGGACCTATGTAATACTGCCAAGGGCAAATATGTTTTGAGACCAGCAATGAACCAACGCTCCTTGAAATGTATCAATATGGCAGGAGGTGTCAATGACTGAATGATTGTCCCCATTTACCCAGGATAGAGAAGTTTACTGGAGACACACGATTTTCAGTGCAAAAAACAGGATGCTTAGTTACCATATCTACAGATATATGCACACAGAAAGCCCCAACACATTGCTTTTGCCAAAGAGGCAATGCATTGATTTTATACATCTGACTATTTTTTCTAAAGTTTGCCTATTATTTGCAAAACTTTGTTCTAAAAACATATCCACAACTTCCCATTGGATGGTTACAAACTGAGTTTTGTTACGGGCTTCTATATGTAAAATAGTGTTGTGCTGTATGTTTATGTAATTTCTTGCTGCCATCTGCTGGCCAAATCCAACAGGATCCTGACAATCAACATTTTTTAATCTAACATTTAAATGTTTGAAGACTTTGCCGGAAAAATAAACAAATTGGTCAAATCAATTTAAGTCAAAAGATTGTTAGCAACTAGCCAACATTACGAGCCCTTAAAAATTATTAAATGTAGGCATTTTAAACAAACGCGAAAAATGTTTGGTTTTTTCACATAGAGTAGTAGCCTTTCTTGCAAGATGCCTTTCAGACAGCATTTTTGAAATTTTTATTGAAGTGTATTTCACATGGAAAAAAGTGTCCTATTCGTAAGTACATATGCATGAATTTCCATGACGGGAATATACCTATGAACAGAATACTCTGCCATTGGCCACTGTCCCCTGAGTGTAACCACTGAGTTTTAGTGCCATCGTTTTGCTTGTATCGGTACTTTCTGTAAATGAAATAATGCAGTAGGAACTCTGTTGTATGGGACTTCTCATATAGCATTTTAATGCTACAGTAGCTCATATTTCTTTTCTGCCTGGACAATACAAAAGGAAAGAAGCTAAAAACATGAGAAGGCCCAAGTCACTCTTCTCATTTCGGTGTGTTTTCCTGTAGTCTTCGGGTGGGAGGAGCAGAGGCGTGTGGCGTGTTTTGGCGTGCACACGTTTGCGTCTTGCCAGGAATGGGACTGGATCGTGGGTGCTGCCTCATAGCCCATGAGACTTCTGTTTCCTCCACAACTGACTGTGAACATTGTTCTACTTTCGAGAGTCATTTTGAGCAGAATACTTTATTGTACATAGAGATTTGACTGCTCTGACAGCACTGAGTCTTGCTTTGTGGCCCTCATGGGTGGCAGGTTGACCTCGGGGTCATAGCATAGCAGAGGGGGCAGGGGGCAGAGGACAGGCTGGTCCTTCACAGCTCCTTCCCGGCTCCCACTGTGCTGCCCCAGCCTGGCCAGGTGACTGCGGGCTGTGTGGTCAATGCTCTTCCTCCCCTCTCCTTTCCCCGCAGCTTCGGCATCTTCTGTGGTTTTGTGGCGAACCACCCGGTGCGGAACCGGGTCAAGAGGACTCGGACACTGGCCAACAGCAATTTCAAAGACTTGCGAACTCTCCTGAATCAAGCTCCAGAGGTAAAACCACAATCCATATATCCCGTGGCACTTTGTAATTTTGGCTTTTCGGAGTTCCTGTGTGTATTTGGAATCTCATTTGAACCTTCTAGAAAGTCGGTGAATCAATGTAGACTGGTGTTACCTTTTATTGTGGTAGATGAAGAAATAAAGGCCTCAGGAAATGGTTTTCAAAAGAGTACAAAGGCTGGGTGCGGTGGTGGTTCACGCCTGTAATCCCAGCACTCTGGGAGGCTGAGGTGGGAGGATCACTCAAGGTCAGGAGTTCAAAACCAGCCTGAGCAAGAGCGAGACCCTGTCTCTACTATAAATAGAAATAAATTAATTGGCCAACTAAAAATATACACACAAAAAAATTAGCCAGGCACAGTGGCACATGCCCATAGTCCCAGCTACTCGGGAGGATGAGGCAGGAGGATTGCTTGAGCCCAGGAGTTTGAGGTTGCTGTGAGCTAGGCTGACGCCACGGCACTCTACCCCGGGCAAAGAGTGAGTCTCTGTCTCAAAAAAACAAACAAACAAACAAACAAACAAAGAGTACAGAATTGGTGTTTTATCTTGTTATTAAGATATGACATAAAATTATAGTACATATTATAAAAATACTTGACCATTTTAAGGCTCTCATGATTTTTTTTTTAAATGAAAAGTCTTTGAATGCTATTATCTTTCCCTTTTTTGGCAGTATAATTAATTCAACATCATTTGCATAAAGGTATTCTTATAAAGACACCTTTCTGCTTTATAAACACCCATTTGCTAATATCGGTATAGGTGTGTCAAATTCTTTGGGAAGGACACACATGCACTCTTACACACAAACGTGCTCACACACACACATGCACACACACTCGGACATACAAGTTGTCTTTAGTGAAGGGGAATGGGATTGCTGAAGGGCAGTGATGGGAGGGAAGGGCTCCCTTTTTCTGAATTCCAGAAGCATGTTGTGCTGACGTATTAGCTATTCAGAGCATTGCTTTAAGAAGCATCTGGAGGGTGAGGGGAGAGAGGGGCGGGTACATACATACATAATGAGTGAGATGTGCACCATCTGGGGGATGGTCATGCTGGAGACTCAGACTTGTGGGGGGAGGGGGGAAAGGGCATTTATTGAAACCTTAAAATCTGTACCCCCATAATATGCCTAAATAAAAAAAATAAAAAATAAAATTAAAAAAAAAGCGTCTGGGTGGGAACTAGTGTCAATGTGCAATGCTTGGGGGTAGCAACATGAAAAGAGGGTACCTCTTCCTGGATTCACTGGTGAGAGTCTGCCAGATTCCTCACGTAGGATGTGTTTGTTCTTCCAAATACATTATATTCTAAAAATATTAATATGTCAAATATTGCACTAGTTTCAAAAATAGTTGGAAAATAAAAGAGAAACAAATGCAGGCATTTTTTAAATACATATTTTTTCTTACTTTTTTTTCAATGTTACCCTGAAATTTTAGAAACCATAAATGCAGGCATTTTTAAACATTGAGAGTAGAGAAGTCAATTTTAGCTATACTTTTATAGCCCGTACACAGATGGAAATGTTTCCTTTTCCCAATCTGGGACTAGGAATTTGTAATATTTTTTACCTATCACTCCAAAGACTTCAAAGAAAAACTTTACTCCTAAATAGTTGGCAAAATTAGACAGCAGTCATGGCTAGTGTCGTTTGGGATTGCTTTCCTAGTCCTACAAGGACGGTAAACTGTTATGACTTTGTGGGAAACTTATTTAGTGCAAAATATATGATGAGCTCTAACAAGTCTGTAAAAAATTGGGCAGAGAATGTGAACAGGCAATCTACAGAAGAAATATAACTGGCCCCAAAGAGAATAAGAGGCTTTACATTACTCTAGAAATCAGGGAAATGAAAATTTGCACAATGATGCACATTTTCACTGAGAAGATTGCTGATAATTATTTAATAATAGCAGCACCCAGTATTTCGAAGGGAGTGGGAAGACAGGTGCACTGAGTCACAGGAAACAGAAGGGGAAGCAGCCTCTTTGGAGGCCAGTTCATAATGGTCACTAAATAAAATGGACCTAGCGTGGTAGATGGCAAATGGCCGTGAATTCTTGGTAAGTTTCTCTGGTCAAGAGGTAAATCTAACACCTGGTGTCTGGGCTGTCCCTGTGACGAGCTTTTGATCAGGAAAATAACGTGACTTTGTGCTAGTTTTGAACTTGGGCTTCCAGAGGCCTTGTAGTGTCCGCTCTTACTCTCTCGCTGCTGGTTACCCTGGGCCACCATGTGCAGACACCCCAGGCTGGCCACCTGGGGCAGGGAAGAGTCCACAGAGGGTGCGGGGGCCCACCTGTCCCCAGCCAAGCCCGTCCAACAAGAAGATGCACAGAGCCAATCCACAGAATCATAAGACATAATAAGTCAAGTTTTAAGCCAATAAGCTTCGGAGTGTTATTTAGAAGTCTGGATGTCAGAAAATAGAAGCATCTCTAAGACCCTGCTGGTTATTTATTTTTTTAAATGATCCGATTCAGGATAACTTTTGTGTGTTGAATCTCTTTTTGTCTGTTTATCATGTGTCTGGACCTTAGAAGAAGTCTCATATAAATTTTTTTTTCCCCGCAGCAAATCCAATTTATACTGGCGCAGTACAACACCACCAAGGACAAAGCATTCTCAGATCTGAACGGTGAGTAAAGTTTAAAGTTGCCTCAAATTTGTATTTGTTCCTTTTTTTGTTGTTAGTTTTGGCTAAAAGGTCCTGTGGCCCATCTCCCATAAAACATGAACTAAGAAATGAAGTACGTGAAAGTAGGGGGAAAACAGAAAAATAATTCCCCGGAGTTACCAATGACTTGCCGTTTGTCCCTCAGTGATTAGGACCTAGCACTTCCTGAAAGCCTCTGTCGCACCGGCAGCCGGACATTGCGTGTTTTTTTTTTTTCATTTTATGGTTATCGTAAAGCTTTTGTGTTCTTGCATTCGCACGTGCTTGTTCTGCATTCGCCGTGCGGGAGAGAAATCGTGTCCCTGCCAGGTGCTCTGTTAAAGACACGAGGGCTCCTTAGAGAAACCGGTGGCTTCAGAAACAGACGAGTGGAGACGGCTGGTCCCTGCCTGCTACAGGAGCTCACCTGCAGCTTAGCTTAGCGTTTCTCAATGAGGGGTGACGTTTGGCACATTCGGTGCCATCTGGAGACATTTCTGGTTGTCACGGTGAGGGGAGGGGAAACTGTGGGGCAGAGCTACTGACATCTCGTGGGTCTCAGCCAGGGATGTGCTGAAATGAACATCCCACGGTGCACACAGGACAGCCCCCAGTGTCACAATAACAAGTGTGCAGTAATAGTGTCTTTAATCATAACAATTAAAACCCCAGTCTAGCACAAGAGATTTGGGGACACAGAGTGATAAATGCCACGTTCCTAGTACAAATAAACACCCAGTCTGTGGTGATTAATTTTTCCCTGGGGGACAGCCGCGTGGGACTTAGAAGAGAAATCCCCACTCGGGAGTCCACGCCTAGACGGGGTCTAGGATGAAGGACAGATTTCACGGCGGGGGGAGGCCGACACTGGTTTGCTAGGCCAGCGGGACCTGCGGTGTGAGGAGAGTGCGGGCGGAGGGGGAGGGGGTGAAGGAACAAGCTGCCCTCACTGTCCCTTGTGCTTCTCTGCATGTAGGTATTAATTTATTGCTAGGAGGCGGAATTCAAGAACGACTAAGACCCACCGTGATCCCTGTTCTTGATGAGATTAAGGCCATGGTGACAGGTGAGCAGTGTGGCGGGAATGACGGGCGCACGTTCCACCCAGGAGCCCCTGGGCTTTGCAGATTCTCTCACTCTTTTCTTGTTTCCCTAAGGGCTGGCTGTGGGGACAGCCACTGTCTGAGGCCATGCAGACAGGCCAGGTCCAGACACATTGTGTCACAGTAGTTTGGTTTTGCTCTTTTTTAAAGCTTGTGCCAAAGCTATTGTACTGGTGGTCTAAAAATCATTTGAGTTAATAACGGCGGGATTTGATAGGGGCCCACCACCTGGTTTTGTAAATAAAGTTTTATTGGAACAGAGCCATGCATGTTTGTTTAGGTATCGCTCATGGCTGCTTTTGTGCCATGATGGCACGGTTGAGTAGTTGCCACAGAAACGGTATGGCCTGCAAAACCTAAGATACTTACTATTTTACCTTTTGTAGAAAAAATTTGTCGCCCCCTAGCATAAAAGATGAGTAGCCTATTGAAATTTAGATCTTTCAAGGTCTATTAATTATTTTTTCCCTTTCCCCCCCAAAAAAGAGCAACTTTCTGAAACAAGGTATATACATATATATCTTAAGCCACCATGGTCGGTGATATAAGTGAGCAGATACGCTGATTTTAATAAACTGCATATTCTACAGGAATGAGAAAAGATCTCCCAGGCCCCTCCAAATGTTGAGAAAAAATGTCTGTGCTGGGCGCTTGACGGCAAGGACAATGTCATCTATGCAAAACATTTGTCACTTTGCCAATAAGGATTTTACTTTCACGAGCTAGCATTCCTGAGAAACAGGACATAAAGGAGGGAACTGCGTGGAAATTGCAAAATCATGCCCATTCCTTTCAGCGTTCCTTATAGTTCAACATCCCAGATGAACGTACAGGAACAGGAGGATGGACAAAACAGACCAGGAGTTCTTACAATTAGTCTTTACTAATTGAAAAGGTCCTTCCTTGCCTTTGTCCTTGTCCCTGCAAAGGGTCCAGCTAGAATCTGAAGGTGGGTCCTTGATGTTGATGCCTAGATGTCTCCAGACATCCCTTCTCTTCCTCACCAGCCATTTCCTTTCCAGGCAAGGAAACTGAGGCCCAGAAAAAGGATGTGACCTCAGAGACCATTGCCTCCTGCCTCCCTGTTCTAGCTTTTTCTATGTAGCTTCTCCCTCCCTTCCTCTGATCTTCTTCCCTCCCTTCCTTCCATGCCTGACCCCCGCCTTGTCATTCCAGTCTCACTCCCCATCTTGGACACTCATCGCTGTTCTCTTCCTCTTCTTGTAAGGATACCAGTTCCTCCGGATTAGGGCCCCACCATTATGACCTAACTTCCTCTTAATTACCTCCCTCAAGTTTCTGTCTGCAAAGACAGGCCAAGAGTTAGGGCTTCAACATATGAATTTGAGGGGATGCACTTCAGTCCATGCAATTGGTAGCTGGGAAGTGGTAGATTTGGGATTTAGACCCTGGTCTAACAAAAGCCTGTGCTCCCTGTACCATCCCAGATGGAACTCAGTACGCTTGGAAATGTTAAGCTGTAGGATGCCACTGTGGCATCCACGGGAAGCTAACATAGTGTACCTTTGGAGGAAGAGTTGGGAATCTGGGGTTCAGGTGCTGGTGTGGCCACAAGATGATGCCAGGCATCCCTGCACCCCCATTCCTCATGCATCAGCACATCCGAACGTCAGTCTTCCAAGATCGCCTGCAGCCCCCAAATTACATGATGGTAAAGCTGTGCAAAAGCATATGAATGATGCAGTGTGGTTGGTGTATGCCTTTACTTTTTGCCCAATATTCCCACAATTTTAAATAATCGAATTATAGTGCTTTTTAGATTAAAAAGCAATTAAAATGGTTCTTATTTTTCTCTTCAATGCTTCCTGTGTTATTATTGTTTTTTGTTTTTTTTTTAAGTCCAAATAAGTTAAAGTTTAGCCTCTGGTATTGCCAGAACATCTTAAAACATGCTTAATAAACAGCATGAGCAAATGTTTTGCTAAAAATGCTTTGCAGGCTTATGTGTTTAGTGGACTCTGGAGAAAGGAGAAACCTGCAAATTTTTTTGTGCAAATCATATTTGGGCTGCAGGTCAGGACCTATAAAGGAAATGTGCTATGGGCTGGTAAAATGTTAATTAACTGAAATTGAGAATCTGAAATATCATTTCCACTTCCTTCAGATACATAATATATGTGACCTTGGTAGGCCTGGAATGACTCCCAGAGTTATAACGTAGTTAATATTTCATGGGTATAAAATGCTTTGAAGCTATTGGAAAATATTTATTACTTCTGAGTCTTTCCCGGGACATGACAGAATATTACCTGTATCCCAAAATGTCTATGGATGGTGCTGAAATACACACACATTTCCTGGGCCATCAGTTTATTTTATAATCTGTCATTCTTTGTTGTTGTTGTTTGTTACCCTAAAATAACTTATCTTGAACTCAAAGTGGAAAGGGCCATGGGGTAAACCATAGAATGTTAACACGTGAGGTGTATTTCAGCATGCTCATTTGCATTCTGTTATATGTTTCTGGTTGCAGCTGAGTTCTTTGTTTCTTATTTTGTTGTAGTTATTATTTATTGAGCCTCTACTATGAGCCAGGTATGGGGCTTCATACTTTGCTGACAATGCTTGGAGGCAGGTAGGAGAGATGAGAAATGGATGCCTAGGGTATTCTTTGATAGTCCTAAATATTACTGTAGTCTTGAATATTGTTAAGCATTCATTGAGCTGAAATTCAAGAGAAAATACTATTTGGAGCAGATTTTAAGATTTTCTATTTGGGCAAGGTGATAGAATTTCAGACCAAGGGGCATACTGTACAATTCTGGAACCCTCCCCAGGTCTCTGGTTGCAGTTCCTAGGCAGACCTAGTTAACTGGGGACCCCACCTCCTAAGAGGTCAGCCTCATGAGCACTTAGGACACAGCCTGCAACGACAGGCTCCTCTAGTAACCACCAGATGATCCAATTTGCTCCCTAACTTGCAGATGAGGAAACTGAGGTCTTGAGAGGTGAAAGAGTTTGCCAAAGATCCTACATAGCAAGGTAGAAGGAGAACTGGGATGAGACCTCAGGTTACTTTTGGTGAGATTCCACGGTACGGAAGCATTTATATGTATGTGTGCATGGCATGTGTGTGTATGTGTGTGTGTGTGGTTTTACCACTCAGGTCTTATGTGGCTGCCAGGGAAGGATGGGAAAACCAGTTGTTAAGGGCATCCACATTTTCCTTGAAACACTTGTGGCTTGATGCTCTGCCATCTGTTTTGTGAGCCACAGAGTAAAGTCTTCCTGACTAGGAAGACTTATTTGTTTAGAAGAAGAGGAATGCCCTCTAATTTAAATTTCATATCTTTTACTCCTGGGGCTTTAAGCCACTGTAGAAAAGAGTTGTAATTCACTACCTCCCTAGTTGTACACGGAGGGTGTCATTCCCCTGGAGAAATCAGGATAGCAAACAATTATTCAGGATTCCCTAGTACAGCTACTCGGGGGGATTTCGTATGTGCCAGTGAACTTGTGGTGAATCGAAAACACCCTAACTTGAAGCGTGTTGAATACACCATGGAGGATCCTGGTTGCCCTTGTGATCTGCGGCTGACAGGGAGCTGCAGTTCACTAGCTGCCCAGCACCTTGGGGCGTGGGGGTATTGTACCGTTTGTTGCTAACCCGGGAAAAGGTCAAAATTCAAAATGCAAAGTATGGTTTCTACTGAATGCATATCGCTTTCCAGCATCATAAATGTGAACAATCGTTAAGTTGAGCCATCGTAAGTTGGAGGCCCTCTGTATGAGAGTATATTCTGGGCTGTGGGGCTCCCAACTACCTTTTAGGGGTTTGAATCCAATCGGTCTAATCGCCACAATTTGTGATGAACGTGGTCGTGGTGTCAGCACTTTCTGATGAGGAAAGTGGCTCAGAGAGGTTCAGGAAATGTGTCACACAGCACGTAGTGAGGCTGGGATCTGTGCCTAGACCTGCCTGAATCTAAAACTGTGCTAGGTTTAGTTCCAATTCTTTGAATATTCATAGCTGGGTGTCATCAATTTTTATGTAGATTTAAACTGCTTGGGGGGGGGTGATGGTTGACGTGTTTGGACTGACCTCTTCAAGGCTGGGCAGCGGCACCTTTGCCGGCTGCTAGCGGCCAGTTAGTGCTGTGCCGAGGTGTCCCCTCACGTTCCTGGGTTGCTGCTCGCCCCTGCTTCTTGCGTGAAGGAGCGGGAGAGGTGAGCAGTTGGAGTGGCAAGCCGAGGAGCCTGCGGTGGCCCAGCATGTCCGCTCGCAGCAGGCTCCTCGGCCTGCCGTCCACGGTGGTGGACAACTCACGTCCAGTTCCGTCCGGCCACGTCTGTAGCCCAGAAGGGCCTCAGTGCCTCTGCTCTGAAGTGGCTCTGTTCCCACAGTGATCAAAGAGACCAAAAAGGCCCTGGAGAGCATGAAGAACAGCCTGCAGAGCCTGCGCGAGGAAAGCGCACAGCTCAGCAGCGCCCTGACCAACGTGAAAAGTAGCATTCAGAATTCACTCAGCGACCCCGCCTGCTCTGTGCGTCCATCGAGCGAAACCTGCAACAGCATCAGGACGTCTCTGAACCAGCTGGAGAGCAACCTCGACCTGAATCAGGTGAGCAGCTGTGAGCCTGGGGACAGCTGGGCAGGGCTAAACGAGGGGTGGGGGGTTGGACCTGTCTGGTGCACAGCGGCCTGGCTTGGAGAGCCATAAGCCCCAGACCTCTATCAGCCTTCTCGGGCTGTCACTCACACCTTGCAATGGCCGCAGCAGGCGTGAGGAGTGAAGGGGAGCCCCTGCTTGGGAGTTCTCTGCCATTTGATGAAGCATATCAGAATGAATTCAGCCTCAAAAAGAGAAAAGGGGCCCAGTGCAGTGCTTGTGCCTGTAATCCTAGTACTTTGGGAGGCCAAGGCGGGAGGATTGTTTGCGGCCAGGAATTCAAGACCAACCTGGGCAACAAGAGAGACCCCATTTCTACCAAAAATAAAAAAATTAGCTGGGCTTGGTGGTGTGTGCCTGTAGTCCCAACTACTGGAGAGACTGAGGCAGGAAAATTGCGTGAGCCCGGGAGTTCGAGGTTGCAGTGATTTATGATGATGTCGCTGCACTCTGTCCCGGACAATAGAGCGAGACCCTGTCTTAGAGGGGAAAAAAAGGAATAAAGGAAGCAGAATACATTCATGTATAGCTTTAAAAATTAAAATATGTTTTTTAATGATGTGCCTAGTATATTAACCATGTATGCTGAAATAGAAGACAATTCCCCCATTTTCCTAAAGGAAAGATTTTTTAAAAAGAATCTGGGGTAATTTGGATATATAAAGTTCTGGGATAAAGACAAAATGATTGTGTCTATTCATGATATTTAATTTATTAATTTAGTTACATATACACCTCACGTTTTATATAAAATAATCTTTTACTATAGATATTCTTTTTCTCACTTCCACATTTTCTGAGTCAATTTTTTTCAAACATTTCACATGCAACGTGTATCTGCATATCTGATACAATTAGTTTTGGAGTCATCAAACAGTGTTTTAGAGCTTAGTTGTGTTTAAGTTGTTTGAGATAGAGCCTTTTGGGGCATAACTTTTTATTTTAGTGTTCTTTCAAACATGCAGAAAACTCTCCAAGTGTCAGCATTTTGCTTTATCCTATCATTTTGTTGGTTTATCTATTCATATCATATATACGCACAAAATAATATGCATTTTGTTTTTTTATCAAAAGATAAATTGTAGACATCATGCTCCTTTATCCCTAAGTATTTTAGTGCATTTCCCAACCTTACATAATCATTATATAATCATCAAATTTAGGAAATTTAGGACATACAACCGTGATCCAACATTATCAACTAATCCACTCAGTTTTCATTCAAATACTGTTGATTTTTCCAAAAATGCCCTTTACAACTATCTTCTTTTTTTCCAGGTCAGGATGACATGTCACTGTTCGTTGTCATGTCTGTCTCATTCTCTTGAACCTGGAACAGTGTCTCACTCCATCTTTTTCTTTTGTGACATTGACATTTTTAACAGGCCATTTATTTTGTATAGTGGCCTTCACTTTAGGTCTGTCTGATGTTCTCTCATGATTAAAGTTACATTTCCCAGGGAAATATCCGAGCAGTGATATTGTGTCCTTCTGGGTACATCCATGTCAGAGGCATGCGAGATTTGTCCCCGTATTGGTAAGAGCTAGAGCACTTCAAATCCATGTGTGTTAGGATGCTGTATTGGAAAAATGTATTCCAGATTGCTCACCAGTATAACCCTGACTATGTTACTCCTAAAAGTGACTTTAAAAAGTTTGCTTACAACTTTAACAGTCTTCAGTACTGAAAATTGTAAGGTCACACATAATACATCTGTGTTAAATTTGATGGCAGCAGAAAACCTCCAGAAGTCTAAAAATTGGTGCTTATAGAGGCCATTCTGAGCTAAAGGTGTTTTCCCCAAACAATACCCTATTCTTCAAAAGAAATTGAGATTGAACTCTATAATCTAGATACTTTAGGACTTGGATATAAGAGGACTCCCTTTTTCATGAGGAATAGTTTTGGGGAGGGGGAGACCACCTTGCCTTATATTTTGTTCTGTAAATTTTCAGCTTCCTCCTGTGGACGGAGAACTTGACAGTGTTAATGATGTTCTTAGAACCGATTTGGATGGCCTGGTCCAAAAGGTATGTTGTGGTGTTTTTTTTTTGTTGTTGTTTTTTTTTAATGAAGTAGCTTATTTTATATCATTTTAAAAGGTAAACTATTATGTAAGAAAATAGGAAACATCAAAAAAGCAGTGCAATTCTGGAGAGGGGTTGCCATGAAGGGTGATAGTTATTATCTTCCAGGTAATTTTGTTCATTCCAACTCAATACATTTTTGTTAGGCACCCATTATGTGCAAAGCACCATGCTAAGACCATAAGAGATAAAAATAAATAAATAAATAAAAAATAAAAACAAAAAAACCCCATGACCTCTGCTTTGCTGGGGCTCAGAATTTAGTGGGTGTAGTGCTGGACCCCCCACAGATTCTGATACAAAATGCTCCCCCTCTGCCAGTGTCAGCCCCGCTGGTTTATTTCTGTTCCTTCCCACTTCCGCAATTTGCACTTGCTGTATGCCTGGCCCTGTCTTCTTTCTCCCCTGCCTTTGCCTGGCTACTTCATTTTTTAAGATTCATATATCATCTTCTTAACATCTGGACTGGGTCAAAACCCTTTTTAACACAGTCTTACAGCATTGTAGATATGCTCTGTTAAGTTCCTCGTAACTGTAATTATTTCTTTAATGTTTCTGTTCGCCCACTGGACTGTAGATTCCCAAAAAAGCAGGGACAGGATTGGTCTGGAATGCCATGATTTTCCCTAGCAGCTTGCCAATTGTTGCTATGTATTCAACCAATAGGTATTGAGTGCATAGGAAATATTTCTCTATGCGTTATAATTCAGTGATTCAGTAGAGTGCCCGGGACCTATAGGAAAGGGAGAGAATAGTTTTATTCTTGACTCTATGTCTTTCGGTGTGAAAGTCTTGAAAAAAAGTGAAAAGTGAAAAAAGTCTTGAATATCTGTTAAAACACTCATCCACATACACTGACAAAGTGTCCCCATGAAAACAGGTCACTCGAAATTCTTGGTCTTTGCACTCTTTGGTGTCACCTTGTTTGTCAAAGGAAGGAATTGAAACAGGAGTTGTGTAAGGCCACGGAACTTCCCCAGGATGGGTGACATCCGCAAATCGAAACGCAGACAGATGGAAAGGGGTGGGGCATGCAGAAAGCCACGCAGGCACAGGTGTGCTGGGCAGCTCATTCGAGAAGCCGCAGATGTTCCTCTCACGCCATGTGACGTAGCCAGGCTAACGTGGAAACCAGCCGGCGCCGTGAATCTTAGGAAGGTTGCAGGTGCCATAGCGTTCCCGACAGACAGCGAAGAAACCCAGACGGACCCTTCCAGAGGAGAGGCGCGGGACGCTTCGTTGAGTTCTTCGGGAATAATGATATTTTCCTCTCACGGACTTGGCCCCAAAGCCATGTAGCTTGGCGTGGTTGTTTTTGTTTTTGTTTTAGCCTCACTTACAATTTGTCTCCTCTGTAAACCATTGGGGGACATTACTTATTTATTTATTTTCTGTGAGACTGGATCTCTAATTTTATTTTTGTAATTGGAAAGTAATACTCTGTCTTGGGGAATTCGCTTTCTACTTGCGCGTGGTCTGTTGTACAGATGAGGGTCTCTTGACCTCAGCACCGTGGACGCTCCGTGCTGGGTCACTCTTTGCGGTGGCGCTCGTCTGTGCGTTGTAGGGTGTTTATCAGCACCCCTGACCTCCACCCATTCAGTGCCAGTAGCGCCCCCCAATTGTGATAACCGAAATGTCTCCAGACATCGTCAAGTGTCCCCTGAAGGACAATATAGCCCCACTTGAGAACCAGTGGTATGGATATATGTATCCACAATAATTCCTAGGATCTGTCTGAGTAAATATGTTGATTTTAACATTATGGGAGTACTCTATGTGAAAAACCTTTAACATAGTTTTAAATTGATACAATGTAAAGAAAATGCTCTTTAAAGGGGATTTTATTTTTAGCCGCTTAATGACCATGTAATGGTAATTTCAGTTATAAGATGGATGGCATATACTTATTTTACTTCTCTACTGTGTATTACCTTGCAAAGTGGGCGCTAGTGTACATCAATGTACTGTGTACCTTAATTTATTTTGAAATATTTTTTAGGGCTATCAGTCCTTTAATGATATACCTAACGGGGTGCAACACCAAACCAAGAACATTATTGCAGGTAAGATTCCTAATTTGAGGTCAGTTTTTTAAATCTTTGTTAAGAATTGGACAGTCAGTACAAAGAAAGGTATTGTTAAGAATTGTATTTTTCTTTTCCTCCTAAAAAAACAGTCTCTCACTAAAACTTCGAAAACTAAATATCAGAGCTTTTCAGTTGTGTCACCTTCAGTCAGTGATACAGATTAAAAGAAGAAGATAAAAAAAACAACAACCCTCTCATTCAGCACTTACGGGCATCATCCTGCCTGCCAGCGCCGCACGGCTGAGTGCCACCATGTGGTGACAAGTCTCCAGTGTGTGCTCACAGACAGGACAACAGCCACAGTTTGGAAGGTCACGCTCTGATTGTTCTCACTGGGCAAAAACTGTAGATTATTCTATTTTCTAAACAAACTTAAAGTTTATTTCTTTGTTTCTCTTTTAGGAATGTTTAAAGATTTATTTTGTCTTTTGGCCGGGCGCGGTGGCTCATGCCTGTAATCCTAGCACTCTGGGAGGCCGAGGCAGGTGGATTGCTCGAGGTCAGGGGTTCGAAACCAGCCTGAGCAAGAGCAAGACCCCGTCTCTACTATAAATAGAAAGAAATTAATTGGCCAACTAATACATATAGAAAAAATTAGCCGGGCATGGTGGTGCATGCCTGTAGTCCCAGCTACTCGGGAGGCTGAGGCGGGAGGATCGCTTGAGCCCAGGAGACTGAGGTTGCTGTGAGCTAGGCTGACGCCATGGCACTCACTCTAGCCTGAGCAACAAAGCGAGACTCTGTCTCAAAAAAAAAAAAAACAAAAAAAAGATTTATTTTGTCTTTTAGGACGATTTTCATCTGTCTCCTGGGGATGCTGATGTAATAGTATTTTAGGCTTCGAAGCTTGCATATAATGTTAGAGAGACAGAGTCAATATCGAGAGGGTTCCACTGGTCTTAAATTGTTGCATTGTGCCGCGTTTGGGTCATGGCATTTGTGGCGATGCAGAGAGAGAGGATGCAGTGGGCGCAGTTCTTTGTGCAGGGATGGGGACAAACCGGGGTATTATTTGCCTGGAGAAGAAATCTTTGAAGCTATGTAAAACTATCTTCTATTTGAAAAAATAATTGTAGTGCTTCTTTTTATCATTTGACCAAGTGGTTTTAAAATACTATGTTAGAGATATTTGATTTTTCCCCCCTAATGGTATTCTTTTGACCCATGAAGAGTTTGGGCAAAAAGTACATCATCCTACTACATAGTGTTTTCGATGTTTTGTGGCTTCCCCTTTGTTTAATAGAAGATTCTACTTTAAAACGTTAAGACATTAAAGACAGAGTTCACACTTTCTTACGCTGCCATCTGAAGGCTAATGCATGCTCTACACATGACAGCCACCTGCTCACTAACCTCTGCGTTTAACTTTTGGTTTCCCCTCTCTGGACCTCCCCTGCCCACACGTGCGGCCCTACCCCGTAAGTCCGACACAGCCAGTGCCCCATGTGCGTGAGCAAGGTCCATTGCGCACGGTGTCATTGCTTGAACACAAGCCAGCGTTTTCCTAGGGCCCGGCATCTGCCACTCTATCAGCCTGGATGGCAGGTGTTTATTTTCATGTCCCCAGCGCCCATGCTTTGGCCATCTGGTCCCTGCCTGAACATGTCTTGCAGTGCAGACCCTGTGCCAGGCTCTGAGAGGCGCTGGGCCGTGAGGCGCATCAGGCCTGTTTTTTAGCAGGGCACGTACACACGGCCCGTCATCACACTCGGGTACCGCGGCCGGGTATGCACAGGGGAACCCAGGTGGGGAGAGGCTGGTGGAAGGCTGCCCGGAAAACGGGACATCTAAACCGAGGCCGAGGAGGGTATTTGCTGAGAGAGAACCCCAGCTAAATGCAGCGTCGCCAGCGCTGGTGAGGCGGGGCAGGTGTGTCCTGCTTGAGGACAAGACAGGCTGAGAAGCAGACAGGGGCCCCAGGAACTGTTCCTCGAGGATGGGAATCTGTGTATCACATCTTTCAAAAGCCCAGAGTTAAAAAGAAACCCACTGAGACATCCTGGTTGGGGACCCGCAGGTATTTTCCTGCACAAGCCATTTGGAGATAGCAACGAGCCACTGTGGACTAACAGTCCTTTATGAGCCACTTGTGAACACCTGACGCTTAGCCGCTCATTTCTGGAGCTTTGACTTCTAGATGTCGCACATATGTGTAAAAAAGAAACACTTTTAAGAAGGTTCCCATTGTTTTTATGTAATTACATTTTGGACCGTGCTGCCATCTATACCATCTGTCTGGAGTTCGCCGGGAGCCCCGGGATCATGTTTTGAGAACTGTTCATCTTCTCTCTGCTGCTACAAAGAGATTTACTCTCTTTCAGAATCAGTGGGCTTTTAACTGATTAGTGTGTTCTTAGTATGTCCACGTCAAGAATCACTGTGGGTAAAGCCGACTTCAGAACACGTGGGAGCCCTCGTCTAGGATCCTGATGGACACTTTCCAGAAAGCTGGAGTTTCTCTGAGCTTATCTCCTCTCTGAGAAATCAGGATGGACATCAGCAGAGACTGTTTGACCCCTGGGAATACTATGGCCTTTTGCACTTAGGAGACACAGATATACTTGGTTAATTAAGTCCCAGTGGTGTGAGTCAAATAAAATGTTAACAAAAGTATCACCTGGGGTTACTTGTTCAAAAAATGGTCCCGGAGAATCGCTGTGTTCCTGAATGCAGTTTCTTAGATGGAAGAGTTATTATGATTATTAAATTATTTTTCCAAATTCACGTAACGGGGGCGTTAGCGTTAGACACACCCACGAGTCCATCCCCTTACCCGTGCTTTCTGGAAAAGAGACATACATACAGGGAAGTAATTTCACTTCGTGGGGCCTCAGGATCACGGTTAGTAATGTGGACAATAAGAGAATGTCTACCACGGCAGAACACATGCATCAACATTCATAGACGTGCCCGGCACACCGTGCGTACACTGCACGTTTTAATCACCCGGACCCATTTTTTCAGTGACGTAAGAAGGAGAAGAAAAGTCTGGCCTGCCTGCTCTGGCTTGCCTGCAGCACCATCTCATCAACGTCAGCGCTCACAGCTTGCTGTTTTGTTAAATAATTGCTCTTTGGTGGTCTTGGCTATATTCATGCTTGTTGTAGAAATGTCATATTTTAAACGCATCCATACCATGGGAACACCTTAGAGTGGGTCAGCCTTTTCTGTCTGGTTCTGAAACAAAGTTTTTGTTTCCTCCATGTTTGCAAACGCATAATCTAGGTATCTCTGTTTGCAGATGTCAAAGGCATGTTGAATACCATCGGTTCGAGTGTCGACCGTGTCACCCAACGGATTCCTATTGAGAAAACATTGTCCACGTTTGCTGTTTATATTAACAACACTGAAAGTTACGTCAACAGCAATTTACACAAATGGGAAGAATATGATTCATACTGGTGAGTGCCTGCTTTGAGCTCATATTACTAGCAGGGTGGACATTGGTAGGGAAAGGATAAAAATGTGACATTACCGCCAGGATAGTCTTACGAGAGCAAATTGTACAAAGGGTTCATGACCCGATATGCGGTAACCCATGTTTATGGTCATTAAACAAGTTGAAGTGCTTGCTTAGGCAAAGCAGCACATGTACCAAAATTGGAATGATACAGAGAAGTTCAGCGTGACCCTTGTGTGTAAGGATGACATGTAAATTTGTGAAGCGTTACATATTAAAAAAAAGAAAAAAAGTTGAAGACTGGAAGTTCTTGAGCTAAATATTCAACAATTTATAATTTGAGGAAATATTCTTTTTTGCATTGGTTTATAAAATAAATACTTAGAAGCTGGTTCTTAGTGAAAGAGCATCTTCTTAGCTGAGACTCGAAACCAGAAAATTGCCCCCAGAGCTTGGGTGAGCAGCTGTTGTGTCCAGTGTTTGTTCCCCCATTAGATGATGTGGGCAGTGGGGTTTAGCCCTGGGATAGGACAGTGGACGTCCCTACCAGAGCTCTGGAGATGGGAGGACTTGAGGGCTCAGAATATTTAGATGATTGTCTGAGATATAAGCTTCGCTTTGCTCTCTGAAGGGCGCAGCCCCATGACCTGTCTACTAGAACCACTCATACCGCCCAAGCCCAAGCCCAAGCCCCTGGGGGAGTCCAGAGACTCACTCTTTTTTGGGTTATTTCTTATAAAAGATCATGAGATAAATAATAAAATAATGACAACAATTGCTGGCATTTAGGGGACAGTTTCAGTGTGTTCAGCAAGCACTTTCCACAGGACATTTCAAAATGGACTCACAAAAATCCTCTTCGTTGTGTTCCATCCATAACCCTGTTTCGTAGAAAAGGAAATTGGGGCTCAGAGAAGTGACTGATGTAAGGCCAGCTAGAATATGGCAGAGGTGGGTTTTGAAACCCCATCTGGCTCTGCTCTTAGTCATTGTCGTATAATCAACAAGCGTCAAGGGGCACCCGCCATGTTTCTACTGTGGGGCTCGGTCACCCCAGCAGGTCTCAGGACAAACATAAGACAGACCCTTTCCTCGATGAGCTCACAATCTCATCAGAGGTCAGAGTTACACAAATGAGAAAGAACAGTATAATTATTTGTCTACCTGGCTGCCACCCGTCTCCCCTCCTCCTCCCACTGCCCTGAGACGATAAGCTTATTTGAAAAAGAAATTTAACTAAGCAGATGATTCTTTAACTCTAAAAGTTTTCTGAGGCCAGACTCCATGGCTTATTTAATTTTGTGTCCTCAGTGTCTGGAACAAATCTCCACAGAGTGGCTGCTGGTGGCTATTATTATAATTACCGAGATTGCTCTTAATTGAATGAAAAGCTTTAGTGGCGACTTTTGTCAAGAGGCACCAAGCAGAAGTAAATTCTTTGGTTTTTAGTGTCTTCAATGTTGGGAAGCATCACTAACCTTGAGTGTCCCTCCCTGCTGGGAAAGGTTGTCATATATTCCAGGAATGCCAGTAAGAGCTAATTAAGGATCCGTTGTCCTAAAATGTCTCCCAGGACCATTATGAAATGGAGATTTGCATTCTGCAGGCATTTGATTTAGGATGCTCATAAAATTCTAAATATTCCATGCACCTGCCACATAGAGTGTTTCTAGTTCAGTAAAGAACACAATAGCCCCAAATATTCCTGCAAACCATCCAATATTTTAGAAAAAGGCCAGGGAAGAGAGTCCAGTGTTTCCTTATCTGTAGTCTCACCATGATCTATCCACATGCCATCATCATTGTAAGAGGCACTTACAGCACCAGGTACCTTGAAAGAACTTAAAAGTCGTAGGTGTATTTTCACCAGTAACCTTGGAGAAGCTCAGTAAGACCCGCCTACGAGTCCCACGTGACACCTTGGGAAGCAAAGGCAGAGCAAAGAAGTAGTAATCCCACAACCACCGACCGCTGAGAGAACACATCAAAGCAAAGATGAAAAATAGAAGTTTCTCAGTTTGTTGAGTCGGGGGACTAAGGGTGGGAAGGGATATTTTCATATAACGGTATCACCACCTGAGGAATTGACCGAGCCCTCTACTACTGGACAGCTACGAATTACCCACCTGCTCCCAGTCTTAGTCCAGCGGTTGTTGTGTCATGATGGCTGTCCCCCCGTTTCACATGGAATGACTCTGTGCTTGCTTCACCAGGTGGCTGGGCGGCTTGGTCGTCTGCTGTTTGCTCACCCTCATTGCCATCTACTATTACCTGGGCTTACTGTGCGGCGTGTGCGGCTACGACAGGCACGCCACCCCCACCAGGCGGGGCTGCGTCTCCCACACCGGAGGCGTCTTCCTCATGGTGTGAGTGTGGGCTCCTCTTTGCCACGTTGCGGGGGGAAGTGCAGGGAGGAGAGCAGGTTCTTCCACAAACCTGGAGCCCTCTGGGCCACACACTCTGGGTTCCAGCACAGGAGAGGTTTTGCTGTGATTATACCTTCCTTGATATTTCATTGGTGCTTTCATCAAGTGTAAAAAGTAAGAGAAAACTGTAAATTGATTGCACTGCGATAGACAAGCTTAAACACACTGTTTATGTATGGCGGGCTCCTTTTAAAAGCAGCCATCATGGAAATCCTCTCTTCCAGGTTTGCTTTCTTGATTCTGTTTTTATTCATTCATTCATTCATTCATTCATTCATTCATTCATTCACCAGATCCTGAGCTGAACCCTTGTCAGACAGTATCCTGTATGGTCATCAGGATTGCTGGCTTGAAACTCTAGACACTTGATTTAAATCAGAGGTTGACAGCCCAGCATCCTTAGGATTTAGACAAGTAGCCTAGAGATTAGGGAAGAGAACAGGTGTGAGGTGCCAGGGAGAGGTGAGCCCGCAGCAGCCTGGAGCACTTGTTCCTGCTTGGGAAACATTCACCTCCAAGTTCATGTGTTTGAGAAAACCTTTACTGTAGCAGGGTATGAAAAAGCACGCCCCTAATACTTGGCTGTTTTGTCAGTGTTTTAGTGGTGAGTGTGTGTGTGTGTGTGTGTATATCCCATCTTTTTAACTGCTTGAAGGATGGAATAAATCGCTCTGAAAAAGTACATTCTTCATCAAAATTCTATTCACACTTTTTTAAGGGATACAACCAAAAAATGTGATGGATAGCTTCAGAGAAAGAATAACCAGGAAAGTCATCAACAAACTGATGGAGGCTAAAAGCCCCTTCAGTTTAGATATGATCCTTCTGCAGACATGGAAACCCATGGCTGGGGGAGCAACAGGATTTATCTCAGGAGCAAGAAAAATGCTGGCAACTGTCAGCTGTGGTCAGACGCATTTCAGCTGGTCTGTAGGCTTAGGGTGGCTATTACTTCTTTACTGGCGAGCCTCACTGCTCAGCATGGCGTGCTCGGCTATGCTTGGCAGAATTCTCTGCCTCTCGAGGCATCTGGTAAACCACTGGATAATTGCAAAGGGGGAGATTATATAAGTACAGCCAGTCTGATCAGACTAATTAGAAGCATGCAGTTCCTTCTTGAAAACTGTTTACTTGCTGCTGCAACCAAAACACCATTCCTCTTTAAAAACATGACGCAATCCAATCAAGAGGATGGCTTTTTGGAAAATCAAGCAGGAATGCTTATCTCCCAAAATGATGCCAGTGAAAGATCTGGAAGGAGGAAAAGCAGAGAGCCCCGGCTCTTCTCTGACCCTATAATCTTCCAAGGGCCCTGGGAACATTTCAGGGGCTGAATATGATGCAGTGGTAAAAGTATTTATTATCTGTTGCAGAGGGTCATAGGAGGTTTTGCCTAGAGATAAGGGGATCTAACAGAGACAGCAAGAATCTGGTGTATTGAAGCTCATTAAAAAAAAAACCCTCTCACTGCCTTTTCCTGGGAAAAAATTAAAAAAAAAAACAAAAAAAAAAAACCCATATCAGCTCTGGAAGATGATGCCAAGAGCAGCCATAGGTGTCACGAACTGGGCACTTTTATATGGCCGGTGGCACTTTCCAAAGTTACAGAAAGTAATTTGTCAGGCTATAGCAAAGGCTGTAAAAAGATCATGATGTTCTTTGCCCAATAATTCCCTCCTTTTTTTTTTTTTTTTGAAACTATGTTAAAAAAGTAGATCAAATTATGGAAAAAGCATCATGAGCAGGAAAGTGCTTTTGCAGTTTTAGCTATAACAGTGAAGCATTGGGGATAGCCTAAATGTCCAGGTGTAGAGGAGTAGGCTATTAAGTCCCAATATGTCCACGTGTGGAAGATCATGTAGCCATTGAAGCGCTGAGTTACCCTGATTTGTTGACAAAAGTTTCTAAGATAATATATTTGAAAGAGGCTTAGAAAATTATGTATGTATTATTATAACCATGCACATCAGGGGGGAGCAAGCTTTTTCTGCGAAGGGCCAGATAATCAATATTTTAGGTTCCACTGGGCACATACAGTCTTTGTTGTATATTTTTCTTCTAGTTCCTCTTCACCTTCTTTTGATCCTTCTTGTTTTCATTTTCCTCCTCCTCCTTCCCCTCCTTCTTTACAATACTTTCAATACACATTAGCCATTCTTACCTCACTAAACTAGATAAACAGACCTTGGGCAGTGGTCCCCCCAACCATGATCTAGGTCTGTGCCTATTTAGGAAACAAAGGCTGGCAGTGTTACCTGTTATTTGGAGTGAAGGAGTTATTTTCAGTTGTCCCCTTCGGTGACATCACATCCAACTTCTCTGATTCCTCATCCCAGTCTTGTTAGCTGGCTCTCCTTCCGCCACCTGTTCTCTAAATGTCGTGGTCCTCCAGACCCAGGCCTAGGCTGCTTGTCTCTCTAAGCCAGCCCCAGGGATATGAGGTCATTTCTAAGCTAATTAACATATGTCTCCAACCCAGATATCTGAGCTCCAACACGTGTCTGTCTCCTACACAGTGTCTCCAGGCAATGTCTCACTGTCAACAAGACCACATCTGCCCCACCTTCTCTGCCTCTCCAGAGCACCAGTGCTCCCTGGCCTCGCTCTTGGGGACCTTCCTGTCCTTTGCCTCTCAAACACGGCTCTTCACCTTGTCCTGCTGCTGCCACCTCCTGGGTTATATCTCTTGTCATCCACTGACTTTCTCTGCCCCTCCCACCTCATCAGGCCACCATCGGGGCTGAGATGATGGCCTCCTCAGTGGCATCCCCCTCCCCTTGGCACCTGTCCAACCATCCTTCCCACTATGCCAAGAGAGTTCTTACTCAGAGGGAAAGCGAGTTGTGTTCCTCCTGTGTTTTCAGCCCCTCAGAGTCTCCCCCTCCCTGGGTCCCCTGGGTCCCCCAGGTCCTATCCAGGACACCCCTGCCTGCCTTGGAGCAGGTGCTGTCACTCTTCCACCATCACTCTGGATGCAGAGCCAGGTTGGCCCTTTCAGACTCTCACAGGTACATTTCCTGCCTCAAGACCTCCACCCACTGTATCCTTTGCACAAAGCATTGATTCATTCACCCAAGTCCAGAGTCCTAGACGGCCTAGGACCGTGCTAGATGGCCAGTAGACCAGGCACTTTGTCACTGAGAGGGTTCCATACTTGTCACCATGCTGACCACTTTCTCTCTTCACCACTGGGTAGGCTGAACTGTTTAACCTGCGAAATGCTGTAGACTCCAGGTGCACTTCATACATTGAAGAGGTAGATTTAGTAAGTGATGGTAGGTAATATTGAATCATTCCTTATAGAATTACTAACTTTATTTCTATTCTTTTCCAGCGGGGTTGGATTAAGTTTCCTCTTTTGCTGGATATTGATGATCATCGTGATTGTGACTTTTGTCATTGGCACAAATGTGGAAAAATTGATCTGTGAATCTTATGCAAACAGAAAGATATTCAAGGTAAATATGGTTTTTCTACCCATTAAGGGGAGACTTGCACAGGAATTTGGATTTCCCCATACCTTGTGGATTACTTCAAGGGCAGTGCAAACACATGAGCAGTTTGCTTTAAGTTCAACAAGTTGAGATATTTTCTATTTGTAAGAGCAAGAAAAAAAAAATATATATATATGATAGTGTTCTTATTTTAAGTGAAATCAGTGCCAGGAATTAAGGCCACTGATCAATGTGGGATTGTAATATCCTGGGAGAATAAAATTCTCCTTAGTAGTTTCCAAATGTGGTTGAAAACTCCAGGACTTTACAAAGATGTCCAGACAGACGATTTGGGCCTTAAATTTGAAGGGAAAGAGACTGATAGAGTGCATGCCTTATGGCAGAGGGTTGTCCCTGACGGTCCTACAGGGCAGTTAGGAGTCGAATTCAAGCTTCACTTTCTCCCTCTAAGGCGAACTACCACAGACTCGAGGGGCCAGTGGGCAGTTTTGCTTTCTTCATTAATGAAAAAGTTTTAGTCTAAGTGTCTGGCTTCTAACTTTGGATTTGCAGGGTCTTCCCCAGATTCTGATTTTTAAAATATATTTCTATTTCCCTCTTCTATTATATACACATTTTCCACCTCAAATCTCTTATGAAATTAAGTGGATGACTACTAAGGTGACCACATGTTGTCATGGTATCTTATTAGGTCATTAAATATGAAATGTTCGATTTTGAATCAAAAGTGTAGTTTATTGTATCTCAAACAAGAAGCAGTAGAATTAATCAAAGTATGGCGCCTAAACTGTCAACACAGTTTTGGCATCTTAAAGTTAGCTTGCTTATGCCAGCAGAGAGGAAGCCTGGAGAGCGAGTGGCGACGAAATTGTAAAAGGCGTTTTCCACAGCTTGTTGAGAATTGAATATTTTTCCTTGCAAGAAGTGGTCCAAAGCCTGGAAGAAGTGGTAGTCAGTTGGTGAAAGATCTGGTGAATACGGTAGATGATAGAGAATTTCCAAGTCAAGCCTCTAGTTTGAGCAGCGTTGTTTTTTGTGACATGTGGTCTTGCCTGTCTCTATTGACCAGCCTCGGCCGCTTAATCACAAGCATCCTCATCATTTCATCCAGTTGGTTGCAGTAGACGTCCGCTGTAATTGATTGACCAGATTTCATGAAGCTCTAGTGGGTAATACCAGCGCTGGACCACCAGATGGACACCATTAGCTTTTTTTGATGAATAATCGGCTTTGGACTGTGTTTCGGCACTTTGTTTTTACCCAACTGCTGTGCCAAACACTTGTGATTGTCAAAAAGAATCCATTTTCCATCACTCGTATCGATACAGTATAGAAATGGTTCGCCTTTATGTTGTGACAGCAATGAAAGGCAAGCCTCGAACTTATTTCTCTTCTGATGCTCATTTAATTCATGCAGTATCCATCTACCCAGCTTCTTTACCTTGCTGATTTGTTTCAAATAGTCCAATATTATTGCAATACTAAGGTCAAACCTTGCTGCTAATTCACACATAGGTTGACATGGATTCGCTTCCACTACAGCTTTCAGTTCATTATTATCCGCCTTGGTCTCGGGTCACCCACGTGGCTCATTTTCAAGATTAAAATCACCAGAGTGGAACTTCTCAAACTATCAACATACTGTGCATTCATTAGCCACATCCTTCCCAAACACTTCGTTGATATTTTGAGCTGTCTGCACTGCATTGGTTCCACAACAGAACTCATATTCGAAAATAACATGCATTGTTGACTTATCCATGGTTTCACAAAAATTTCTCTAAAAAAAAAATTTGAAAGATAATCACAAGCCAAAATGCGCATTTGAAAGAATGAGGATGTACCTTCACCAAAAACAAAAAAAAACAAAAAAACGACGCCAAGAAATGTCAAAGTGAAATGTCAGATATCAACTGTCAAACTTAGTACTTAAGGAAATCAGACATTTCATACTTAATAACCTAATAGTTATTCAGTTGGTGGAGGGAGATTAAATTGAGAGCATTGATGCATCAAATAAATTATCTACATTTGGTCTCTTGATAAAAGATAATAAGAGGCCGGGTGCGGTGGCTCACACACCTGGAATCGGGCAGATTGCTCAAGGTCAGGAGTTCGAAACCAGCCTGAGCAAGAGCAAGACCCCGTCTCTATTATAAATAGAAAGAAATTAATTGGCCAACTAATATATACAGAAAAAATTAGCCAGGCATGGTGGCTGGCGCATGCCTGTAGTCCCAGCTACCCAGGAGGCTGAGGCAGAAGAATTGCTTGAGCCCAGGAGTTTGAGGTTGCTGTGAGCTAGGCTGACGCCACAGCACTCACTCTAGCCTGGGCAACAGAGTAAGACTGTGTCTCAAAAAAAAAAAAGATAATAAGAAGACATCAAGCCAGGTTTCTTAATCTCCCATACAGGATTGAATCTTTAAAAGGTAATTCTTAAAACATAGGGGATATTTCAAAACCATTTATACTTCTCAAACACACACACAGCTTGCACTAACTTACCCCTCTTAAATATATATGGTGCAGGGGCAGCAACTGTGTGAGTTTTATTTTGTCCAGAGACAAGTAATGAAGAGCTGGGTCCGCTGCTTCATGGCTTTATATTAGCTATTCTGAATCAAATTGTCTACTCCATTACTTTTCTAACATGTTGTCTTATTCAAATAAAGTTAACAGTTCTAAAAAAAAAAAGTAATTTCAATAATTCTTACTAATGCCATCCAGCGGCCAACTGATTTATCCCAATCACACTGTTATTTTCTAGTTTTAAGTTGAAGATCAACGAGAAAAATCTGAAAAATATATATTAACAGAATATTGATTTTATTGTATGTGTGTATGTTAGTATAAAACTGTTTTGTTTTTTTTTTTAAAAAAAACGCTTTTTAATTTGTTCTAGGTTTTGGACACACCCTATTTACTAAATGAAAATTGGCAATACTATCTCTCTGGCATCATATATAATAAATCAGATATTAACCTCACTTTTGGACAAGTTTACAGGTAACAATAATTGCCGTATGCATTTTGCTTCTTAAAATATCCTTTCTCCACAATGAGAATTTTGCTTTCGATGTGTTTTTTTTTTTAATCTTAATGGTATGACTTTCCAGTTTCAGAGGTAGGCTGTTCTCTAGTCCTAGCAAAGAAATAGTAGAAGTGGTGCTGAAAAGACAGTCCTTCCCCTGAAAGCCTTTGAGACCTCAGAATGGGATGTGTCGAGGTCTCTCTCTCCAGTAATGCCTGGCACTCGCTGGACCTAAGATGAATTAACGGGGCCCTGTGAGAACTATTATTGTTCAAGAGCCACCGTGCCCACAGTAAAAGCTGTATAACAAGAATTAAGTGAATGGGTCCAAATCGCAAATGGGCTGAAATCACCAACAAGATAATAGCGATGCGTGTCGAGGGGCTGACCTGCCTAATCTGGTCTCCTGGGCTCCAATCCCGGCCCCGCTCCTGGAGGCTCTGTCATCTTGGGCAATTCAGTAGGGGTCACGACAATAGGAATTCTCACCCCGAGGTTGTTTTAGGGTTAAGTGAAAAACATGAGATTAGAACTGTGCCTGACATAGCATGAGAACTTGATAAAATAATATCTGTTTTTATGATTGTTCATCTACATGCATCTTCCCATCTTTGACACAGAAGAATGCTGGCAGAACATTGTAATGTAACCGCTAGCACTAATATCTTTGGAGATCTGATACTCAGATTTCCCTAAACGTTTTAAACCTTTCTTGAATTTTCAAGTTACCACCTGATGCATTTGTGATGTGCCACGGATTGTTTTCCTGTGTGATGGAAACCCTTTTTCACCTTTCTGTCGTTTTGCCCCTTTGCACCTCCCAAGAAGGGGAGATGCCTTCTCTGTCGTGGTGAGGTCTCAGTGGGGTGGGCTGTTTCCCCTGGAAACATGTTCCTTCTTCCTAGCACATCCTCTTCCAGGCTGCATAGCCTGAGTCCTGTTCTGTCCTTCTCAGCTCCATTAAATATGTGTGTTTGAAGATCCCATAGCCAGACAGGCACATTCTCACATGAAAGAGCCTGGCGACCTCTGTGTGCCGGGAGAATTCCCCCCTGGGCCCCCACACCCTCTCTCATCCGTCAAGACAGGGACCAAACTGCCCCCTGCCCTGATTCCTGAGCAACTGACAGTCTCTCTCTTGCTTAAGCTTCTCCTAGAGAAATACTGGGGATTTTTTGCACTTCAGTTCAGCTTTTGAAGCAGCCCCCAAACAGTATATAATATTCCTTTCCTCCTACGTCTAGGGTGACTCTTTGCTCACTTTGCATCATGCACATTTGCCAGATGGTGAAATCTGCCTCCCGGTCTGATGGTTTATGGTCTTAGGTGTCCGATCTTCAGTGCAAACCCACAGGCAGCTGTCTGCTCTGAGCTCTGGGGAAGGAAGTCACTTTAAGAATATTTGAAACCAATTCACAGAATGCGTTTTAAACACCGATGACATTTTTATTTCTACCCACGGTGAGACCAGAGGGCGAGAGGATGTGTGCATTAACACAGTGTGTTCTTAGCGAATGAAACTGAAAATACACAGGGTGATAGTGTCTCACATTGAGAGCAGAATGTCTCAGAGGTGGCAGACACAGGTGCCCATCTGCCCTGGGGCCTTTCCCATCCCCTACACGGAAACCACCATTCTCAGTGTTCCTATTATCCTCTTAGAGTTTCTTTATGCAAGTTGAAGCAAATGTTAGCCCTCTGCCTGGTATTATTATATAACTTAGTAGTATTAGCCATCATTCGAAGCTCTAGAGACTTCTTAAGCATTTTGTGAATTGTCAGATTTTCAGGCATTGCAATTTTTTTTGCACTTTTTAAAACATTTTCAAATATGCATTCATTTAATTAATAAATGGGCAGTCATTTGTTCTTCTAGCTGACCCACAGAAGTTATTTTAAAACAAATATAGCTATGTCATTACTGGATTCTTTTACCCATTTATTTTTCATTTGTGTATATTCATAGGGTACAAGTGCAATGTTTTAACATTGATATATTAAGTTGTGTTGAAGTCAGGGCCTTCAGTGCACCACGAAAGCAACACACATTGTACCCACCTGTAGTTACTGTTTGTTTCTGCTATACAATAAGTGAATTCAATGCTAAGTAGTAGGAATGGTAATGTTAACAAATTATAAGAGATGGCACTTTCTGTGTGCCAAGACTGCTTGGAAACTATTGTGTACATAAACTTCTTTAACATCCACAACACTATGAGCTAGGTACCATGTTAACAACTACTTTTGTTGTTGTATGAGGATCCTGAGTAACTGAGGATACCTGAGATATTATACAGAGTTGAATTGGACTGTGATCCTACTGTCTTGGAAAACCTAGTAGGAAGGTAGATCCATAAAGAAGCGTTCTAGAATGGGGCAATACTTACAGGTGATAGAAATGTACTGAGGTTACTGTAGAAGCTCAAGGAGGGCATCTCATGCAGCTTGGGAATGGGAGAATTAGGAAGGGCTTCCTGAGAGAGCTGGCTCCTGAGCTGATCGTAATGTGTTAGTAGTGATTGAGTGGACAAAGGAGAATTAAAAAAGGCAACCAGGCTGAGCAAGGGGCACAGGGAAAGGCAGGGAGGTAGGTGGCAATAGCCTTTCCTTCGAGAGATTTTTAAAATCCCACTGTCACTTTCAGGCTGAGTACAAAGTACAGGGACAGAGAAAAGTCCTTGTTTCCATTACTGAGCCCATGGCAGTGAAAACTGAGTTTCTGGATACAGCACTTGGAATGAATTTTTGTCCCAAACCCAATACTATAAATGTTACTTGTAGACTTTACCTTCTAAATCTTTCTTAAATTGATCTCCTTCTTCTCTCTCCCTGCTTCCCATTCCAACATTCAAACATCCAGGAATGTGATGTGATCTAATGACAAATGTCACTTCTTGCCTAAATTCCAAGGGTTCCCCTGACCTCTGGCAAAGAGACAGCTGAAGAGTTGCACGTTTTCCCCATCTGCACTCATGGCAGACATTGCTAATCAGCTGTGGTCTTCTGCTTACCACAGGGAGCCTCAGGCTCCTCGTGGGCAACGTGCTCTAGGCAGACATTAGCAATCCATTGACACTTCTGTGCACGGTTGAACCTGTCCACCATCCCTAGGCTGGTGGTCAGGTCAAGGCCAAGCTTCTTAGCCTACCTTGGCAGCTCTCCGTGATTCTGGCTCCTGAAGAACTCTCCAGTTTTACCTCTGGGTGTACGTGCACCACGCTCTAAGTCCCAACAACACCAGCCCACTTGTTCCTTGGAGGGGAGCATCGCACCTCCTGGAGTGGAGGAAAGTTGCTTCTCCCAGGCAGCCGTCAGGGTGGCGGGCTCTGACTGCCGTGCAAGGAAGAGTCTCCACCTTCAGGGCTTGTAGCTATCTTTGGGGCTGGAATTATGCATTCGATGAGGCCCACCCTCCTTAGCTCAGTCCTGTAGGCATTTTTTCCATAAAGCCCAAAACATACTTTGTAGCACACCTCTTTCTAGCAAGTATCATTTTGTATTTTTTAAAATGAGAATGTATTTCTTCCCAATTTGTAAACTTGTCCACAGCCGTACTGGAAACAGCACAAAGGAGATGGATGGAGGGACGTATTTATCAATCTTATATCTCTTCCACAAATGGGGCTGTTAGTAAACTGGGGAAAGAAGTCGAGGGTGGCGCGTGCTAGGTGAGGATGCATGTGGCCCCTGGGGACATCCAGATCCACTTCTGTGGTCACAGATTGAACAAACAGTGACTGTTTCTTTTCACCTTCAGCAGTGTATAGAGGTAGCTCCTTTTCTGGGTCATGATTTCTCTGTGTGTTCCCACAGTGACTGCAAGAACAATAGAGGCATTTATGCCACTCTTCAACTGGATAATCGCTTCAATATCAGCAAACAACTCAACATTGCCCAGGCAAGTAATTAGAACCAGTCATGGAATTGACATAGTATTTCATTACTAAATCCAGTCATCTTTCTTTCCTTTTTAAAAATTGAGGTGAAATTCACATAAGATAAAAGTTACTATTTGAAAGTGACAATTAGTGCATTGATGTGGTTGTGCAACCGCCCCCCCTCCTCTGTCTAGTTGCAAAGCATTTTCTCACCCTGCAACTGGTTGTCTCTGTTGCAGCTTCAGTTTTTTGAGTGGAATAGGCAACAGCCACTAAAAGGGCCTCACTGCAGACACTTCGCAGGGAAAGATGTCATTTCACTGAGCATAGATGTTCCCATAGAAACAAGCCCCACTCGTTCCCCAAGGAGATTCATTCCCCAAGACCATCCATCCTTCCTTTCTGCCAGGTCCTGGCACAAAGAAATGTGGTCCACACTGTCCTCATCCCTCGCGAATCATGTTGTGGCCCTAGGACTCTAGGGTGGGCTCTGGTGAGTCTGCTGGCAAGAGACAGAAAGGATGGAAGCACATGGAATAGAGCGACACCATCCCCTTCTTTGCCCGAGCCCACACACCGCAGTCTAACACTCCAGGGAGCCGGGCATGGTGGCTCACACCTGTGGTCCCAGCTACTCTGGAGGCCGATGCAGGGAGGTCGCTTGAGCCCAGGAGCTCCAGGCCAGCCTGGGCAACATAGCAACACCCCATCTCTGATACCAAAGACTCTGAGGAAAGACCATTCCAGAGCACTGTGGCCGAAAGGAAAAGCAAGAGAGATTGAGCCACTCTCTGGAGTGCAGTTAGCCTAGACCATCCCTACCTCCCACACCTGCAGGTCGCTTCTGGCCTCCGCTCTGCAGGGAGGAGTCAGTCTGGAGAGCCCTCTTTCTTTTGGGCTTCCAGAATGAGAACAGATACCAAGGGAGGAGGTTATTCCCAAGGCCCACGGCTCACCCCCGCAGGCGTCGCAGAAGGCTGGCAGCAGGACTGTGACACCATGATGCCTTGATGGTTTTCAAATGTGAAGAGGTTTATTTGAAAGCTGTGCATGAATTTTGTATTAATTTATCTTCCCCAAATACTCCTTACGTGTGCATAAATAAAATGCTATTTTCTATAATGCTATATCATAGAAATAGATGCCCGTCATGCCACGGGTCACTTTCTCTGTGCACAGTGGTGGGTAGTATTTGCAGAGTCCTGCCCAGGGCGCTCCATGCTGTGCGCGCAGCCCTGATTCAGCAGCCACATTCCCATGACCTTCCCCAAGTAGCTGGCCACTGTTCCCCAAATCACAGCCCCTGCGTCTTCCTCCTATCCAGCTCTAATGCATGCTGGCCCCTTCCCTGGGATGCCAGCCTGCCCTGTCCCTTTCAGCACCTCTGTTCGCCAAGGCTGGGGGCTCAGAAGCCCCCTGCTCTGTATTGTCCTTCCAGGTCCCTTTCCCTGGAGGCCTTTCCAAGGCGCTGGTGTCCTGAGGCAGGCAGTTCAGTTCACACGCCCCTCTTATGTCACAGCCTCTATCTGCCCTTTGAGAGCTTTGAGGGCAGAGACAGAATCTTTACTCTGCTTTGCGTCCCGCCTCCTCAAAGAGAGCTTGCCGTGGGAAGAAGCAGGAAGGAGGGGACAGTACCAGGCAGAGATGCCAGCCCAGTGCATGCATGGTTTTTTTTGTTTTGTTTTGTTCTGTTTTGTCCTGTGTAGTTTTACTGCTCTTCTAAAGCATTAAGTTTGTGACATTCTTGGAGAACAATGGATTGCTTTATAACTTTTCTTTTGTCCGTGCAGCATATTGAAAGTATAAACAATGAATTTGAAAATCTGAACGTACATCTTAGTATTAATCTGCTGGACGCAGCAGGCAGAACCAACCTTGAAGATTTTGCTGCTTGTGGAATAGACAGTATAAATTATGCCCCCTACTTGTCTCAGGTAACCATGCTTGATCTTTTGGGGGAAATTTGAGCATTGGGTTTATGTATTTTTGTTTTTGTTTTTATTAAGATGAGATTCATATAACATAAAACTAACCATTTTAAAGTGAGCAATTCAGTGGCATTTAGCATATTCACAATGTTGCACAAATACCACCTGTGGTTCCAAAACATGTTCATCATCCCAAAGGAAATGCTATACCCATAAGCAGTTCCTCCCTATTCCTCCCCCAAACCCCTGGCAACAACCCATCTCTGTTTTATTTCTACAGATTTACCTATTCTGAATATTTCACATAAATGGAATCATATAATATGTGGCCTTTTGTATCTGGCTTCTGTCACTTAGCATGTTTTTGTGGTTTATCCATCTTATAGCATGTATCAGTACTTCATTCCTTTTTATGGTTGAATAAAATGATTGAATAAAAATAATATGGTTTTATTTGTATAGATAAGAATGCAGATTTTGTCACCTGTGTAAGAGTTTCTAACCTTGATTACTTTATAGTTGTGGACCGATGTTGCCTATTAGATGTTGTTAAGCTTTAAAAGTCCCATAGTCTTAACAGAATTTTGTATACCTCTTTTGTAGACTGGTAGACACCCTGCAAGAGTGAACCTTTTATCATTTGCATATGATCTAGAAAAAAAAGCAAACCATTTGGTGAGTACAAACAGTCCCCTTTAAATGCTATGGTAGTGGAAGATGTCAAATGGCAATAGCATTCTTAGGGAGGCTGCTGAAAAGAGTAATCCCTTGTTTATAAATGTCTCTCTTGTGCATGCCCAAAGTCCCCCCGAGCAGCCATTGCCATGTGGCCCAAACCTCTCTGAGCCTGAACGTGGCCAGGTGGCCACAGCAGCTGCCGTCCTCTGCACTTAGAGCAGATGCCCTTGCTGCTTTAGCTCTGGATTTGCTTTTGTCCCTGTCAAACCCCTCTGCCTTCACACACACACACACACACACACACACACACGCATGCACGCACGCATGCACGCACGCACGCACGCAGGTCGTTTTTCTTGCAGCACACGGGATAGTGCCTGAGGATGTGGGAGGAAGATTCCATGTGGTGCTTTGCATCACTGAGAGTAAGTGGAACGGGAGGGCGGAGACAACGCCTGAGCCACATAAGTGTCCCCTTCATCGACATCTCTGCTGGTCGGTGACTACTTGGCCTTAACTGGTCCCATCCGAGAAGCAGCAGACCACGGCAACAAGGAACCTTGTCTCTTGGGGAAGACCTGGGCTTAAATCCTGACTCGGTTGCTTCCTAACGGCAGGAGCTTGGGCAAGATATTTCTCCTCTCTGTGCTTTAGTCTCCCCATCTGTCAAATGGGGGTGAGAAGCGCCTACCTTATAGGATTGCTATGTGTTAATGTGCTAAACACTATTTAAGCGTGGGTTATATAAAAATTTCTCAGTTGAGCCTTGCTTTTCTCATCTGTAAAATGGGGAAACTCATAGTGGCTACATCATGGTGAGGTGGAGAGAATTCACAGCCTCAGGCACTCAGGAAGGGATCATGAGTGTGGGTTATTGCCGAGAGTCTGTGGGTCTGCGATTTGAAGCAGGGTGTCTTGGCGCTGTCCCACCTTGGCCAACGCCGGTGCCCACCCATGGCTATTAATGGACAAGGAGGGCTGCCTGCATGCTTATGTCCCGGCTGGCCCAAGCCCCCTGTGGTTAAAGAGAGTGCTCTGAGTCTGGAAGGAAAGTGTTGATCTTTGCTTACTTTATTCTCTTTGCAGCCACCAGGAAATTTGAGGCAGTCCTTGAAAAGAGAGGCAGAAAGTATTAAAATGATTCACCGTCTACATATCATCCCTATGGAGCAATCACTGGTAACAGTCAGCAGCGTTGGGCATTTCTCTATGGCCTGAGCAAAGTTGATTGCAGCTAGCTGCCTTTCATTTAGCTCACCTCTCGAGGTCCAGTCCGAGTGGCCCCAGCCTCAGAAATTGAGCTGGCCTCCAAAGAAGGCAAAACTTAAATCACTCCTCCCTCTCCTGTTTATTTCCTCTCCTTTTCCCGTTTGGGTTTGAACAGTTAGATGAAGTCCTGTGGCTGCCTCCTGCACCTTGCTCTAGTTTCCATTGCTGTGAGCAGCCCTTCCCACGCCCTGCATTCAGCCACAGTGCTGTGGATTCACTCTCACTTATTCTTCAATTCTTTTTCTCCAAACTTTAACATGCGAAGGTGAGGGTAAGTGCTTTTCTGTGTACATCCACCTAGCTCGTCAGCTGTCTCGATGGCCGTGCTTCCTCTCTTCTCTCCCATCCTTTCCATTTCCTTCTGGCTCTTTCCTTAATGCAGTGAAGGCAGTTCATAGCAAGGAAAGAATTTGGGCTTTGGAGTCAGACTGGGTTACTGCATCAGCTCGCTCAGGTTAGAGAAGCACGTGAATCCATTCGACTCCAACATCTGAACTTCCAGAACTAGTTCTCACTACTCTCTTTTTTTTTTTCTCTCCTGACTTCCTAATTCATTAGCTTATCCACAAAGTCAACCTACTGAATTTTTTTCATTTGTATCATGTGCTCTTCACAATTTTCTACTGTACTTGTTTATGCCCAACACAAATGTGTTAACATTTTAAGCTGGTTTTGCTTTTTTTTTTTTTTTTTTTTAATGCTTTCCTTCAAGCAGACAGGACTCTGTGACTTTTTCAGAACTAGGGCAACCTATGCACAAATAGGCAAGTTATTTTGTGCATGTGATCTGTCTATGATCACATGTACAGGGGTTGGCAAACTAGGGCCCTGCAAAACTACAGTCTGCTGCCAGTTTATTAGAACACACCCAAGCCCAGTTTTCTTCTTTTATTTTTTAGGAAAGGAATTGTTTTAAATTTCAAGATATTATGGAGGTACAAATGTTTTTGGTTACACGTATCAATTTTGTTATACTTGAATCAGGATTATAAGTATGCCCATCACCCAGATAGTGTTCATTGTACCCACTAGATAGGTTTTTGCCCATCCCTTCCTTTCCTTTCCTTCCTGCTTGATTGCCACTGAGTTTTACTTCCCTCTTTGCACATGTGTGCTCATTGGTTAGTTCCAATTTAATAGCAAGTACATGTCATGTTTGTTTTTCCATTCTTTAGCTACTTCACTTAGGATAATGATCTCCAGTTCCATCCAAATTGTTGCAAAAGGACTTAACCCATCCTTGTTCATGGCTGTGTAGTACTCCATAGTAGACACATACCACATTTTGTTAATCCATTCATAAATTGATGGGCACTTGGGTTGATTCCACATCTTTGCAATGGCGAATTGTGCTGCAATAAGCATTTGAGTGCAGGTGTCTTTTTGATAAATTGACTTTTTTTCATTTGATTAAATACCCAGTAGTGGTATTACTAGGTGGAATGGTAAGTCAACTTTTAGTTCTTTGAGGAATCTCCATCCTGTTTTCCATAGGGGTTGTATTAATTTGCAGTCTCACCATGCCCACTCATTTACAAACTATCTGTGGCTGCTTTTGGCTACAAGGGCAAAGTTGAGTAGTTGAGACTATAGCACATAAAGCCTAACATATTTACTGTCTGGCCCTTAACAGATACAGTTTGCCAACCCCTGGCCCAAACTATTTCGGTAAACTACTCTTGTGTGGCAGGCTCTGTTTTAAATAATGCCTTCTACTTTGATCAAACCTAATTCAGAGGGATTTCTTAGACACCTTGCATGTGAGGTATTGCTGTTTGAAGCTTCAGAATGTGTATCCTGATGTTTTTCCTCAGGTTTTCCTATACCAGAAGTGTATAAGTTACACATTATTATTAGTGTCTGTTATTTTTTCTAGAATGAAACCATTACAGTGTTAAGTCAGATTTGATAGCCGTCTTGGGGTAGCAGAGAACACAAGACATGTGATCTTGCTGCTTCATGTAATATTTTGAAAATACTATCTATGTTTGTTCACCAGGGCACTTTAAGGCAAAGTATCAAGACACTGCAACACATAACCCATGGATTGACGGTGAGGATTTACTTTGTTTTGCTGGCATGGGGTTTGGTGGTTTGATTATAAAATACTACACATAGAATTTCAGAGGTGTTGATTTTTGTTAAGTACTTTTAAGTAAAAAAAAAAAAAAAAAAAGTCTCAGTTATTTACCCATTTTTAAATACCAAACTGGGTTTTCCTACTATTTCCTTTCTAAAAGTACTTCTTAAATATAGACCTTGTCTTAGCAGGTTGTTAGATACTTAGGTGAAATCTGTGTTTTGATGTGTCAGATGTAAGCTTAGGAGGTACACTGGTCACTTTTACAGTTTTACAGTTTGTGATGCTGCCTCACAAACAACCCCAAATCTCAGGGCCACGATCATTCATTTTCATTTTGGGGTTGGCCACAGGCTTCTCTCCACAGCTTCCCATTTAGACACCCAACCTCAAGGAGCAGCTCCTGTCTGGGCCACCGAATGTCCTCTTAGTGGAGGACAGGAGCTCAGAGCACGAGTGGAAACGTAGGTTGTGCTGTGAGCCACTGCTCAGAACGGGCATCTACCACGTCCCCAACACCCCACCGGCCAAAGCCAGTCACGTGACTGTGCCCACCGTCCTGGGGCTGGGGACGTCTACTGTCTACTCCACACCCTGGGAAGTGGCCTCAGGGAGGGTATCAATAATCCAGAGCAACTAGTACCATCTACCACAGGGGGCGCCCCCGGGCAAACGTTCCCACTGCAGAAACGGAGCTCCAAGGCTGTTGTACCTACCATGAATCCACAATGCCAACAGGCAATACCGAAAATAATTTTTTATTGAGTGGAATAGGCTGCCCATGAGAGGTTTTGGACGTTAGCCCCACAGGAAAAAAACTAAATCTTTCTTCCTTCACTTTTTCTCAGTGAGACCAACATTATTATGACTCGGTTCCTCTGAAGATGTTTATGTTTTACTCTGTTCCGGGACCTCCCTGGGCCTCTAATCATGGTTACCATTTCCTAAGTGTGTGTCCCATGCCAAGGGAACCTGCTGACACTCTGGTGACCATGTGCAGGTCCTTTGCTTTCTCTGCACACCTTGACATTCAGGGTGATGCATACAGGGGGCAGGGTAGGATGGACATCAGCCTCCACTCAGCAAGCTCTGTGCCCTCAGCTTCCTGGGCAGAAGGGGCCCCTTTCTGATTTACACCACGATGGCATGTGGGCTGGCAGAGGCCTTGTCTTTGCATGTCTGATGGTACCAAGAGTGTGGGATTTGGAGTTATATAAAAAAAAAAAAAAAAGCTAGATGCAAATCCCAAGTACCCTCTAATGCATCCCAGCCTGGTAACTTTAACCTTGACCTTGGATCAGCTGCCTGGTCTGTGAAGGGAGCCTACAACACCTAAACAATACAGTATAACAACTGTGTACGCAGTTCATTGTGAGTGTTCAATGAGGCCCTTCCTAAAAGGACAGGCCTAGTGTCCCCCAGAGCGTGTGCTCCTGCTGTGCCCACGCTCCTGCACTCAAAGGGGCTCTGTCATCTTCCTAAGTAGCAGGCCCACGTCACGGTTTTGTGGGGCCAAGTTACGGCACTCGTATCAACATGCAAGTTGTCTAATGAAATCTTTGCATCATTTTATACCCTGTGGGTTGTTGTCGTGTTTTCCAGGGCAGAATAGCCAAGATTATCACCACTCTGGATTCTGCTCAGAACTTCGTCACAAACAACATTTCCTCTGTTATTAAGGATGTGAGTCTTCTTTTTAAAAATAAGCATGGCAATAAGTGGGCAGGTGAACATTACAGATTTAATCTCTGTAATATTTAAGTATGCTTTTGTCATTTTTAATGGTTTACCGATCTTTGATGTCTTTCCAGGAAGCTAAGAAGTACGTGAGAACAATAGCAGGGCACTTCGAACAGTATCTGCTGTGGGTTGACTTCTCCGTAAGTAGTTTATCTTTTATGAACATGAAGGAGGCCGTGTCTTAGAATGGTCATTTTCCAGGGTAAAATCTAGAGTAAATTAAATTGAATTCCCCAGTAATTTGGTGGGAGGTAAGTGAAAGGATTTTGCGGTGTGGGGCCGAGACTTCTGGGGCCGACTCACCGGGTCTGAGGACCTGCTCCCCCTGGGCCCCCGGGGTCCCCTTTGCTCACCTTCGCCACACGGACCCTTCCATTTTTTTCCCATCTCCTCTGTCAGATAACAAAGACTCAGGTAAAAAATACTCAGGCAAATACCGTGCTGCACACGTATACTTTTTCGTTCTCTCAGGAGTCCTGCAGGATAGGTCTTGTTGTTTCAATAACAAATGAGGAAACTGGAAACTGAGGAGCTGAGAAAATAAGGGTGGGTCTGGCTTTAAAGCAGATACAGTTGTCCCTCAGTGTCCCTCAGTGTCCAGGACCCCCCACCCCAAAGATGCCAAAATTGGAAGATGCTCAAGTCCCTGCTATAAAATATCGTGGTCTTTGCGTGTAACTTACAAACATTCTCCTGCATACTTTAAGTCGCTTCTAGATTACTTGTTACACCTAATACAACGTAAAGGGTATGTATCTAGTTGTTATACTGTATTGTTTAAGGAATAATGGTAAGGAAAAAAAAGCCTACTCATGTTCAGTACATGCGCAACCGTCCTTTTTTTTTCTTTCTTTCTTTTTTCCTAATATTTTTGATCCACAATTGGTTGAATCCACAGACACAGAACCTATGGTTACAGAGGGCCAACAGCAATCTTCTAGAACTCATCAATAGGAATCAGCTGTCAGCTCCGTGTCTTAGAGCGGCAGTCCCCAACTTTTTTGGCACCTAGGGTCCGGTTTCATGGAAGACAATTTTTTTTTTCCATGGGTTGGGAGTGGGTGCGGGGGTGTGGAGCTCAGGCAACAATGTGAGTGATTGGCAGTAGCTGTAAATATGCTCCCTCGCCTGCCACTCATCTCCTACTGTGCTACAGCCCCCACCCTCTTTCCTAAGTTTCATAGAAGACAATTTTTCCGTGGCCCGAGGTGGGGGTGGGGAGGGGGGGAGTGGGGGAGGGGGGGCTGGGGTGGGGAGCAGCGGGGAGACGGTGGTGGACCTCTTCATCCCAGTCCCTAATGGGCCACACACTGGTACTGTGGCCCGGGGCTTGAACACCACAGTCATAGAGTCCTTTTTGTGTGAAACCAGGTCAAAGGTAAATGGCACATCTGAGTCTGGTGGATTTCTGTAGACGTGGCTCAGTTAAAGTCTGTTGTGGTTCTTACTCCCGCAGATCAGAGAGAAGATGGTGTCCTGCACACCTGTGGCCACCGCTCTGGACTCCGCGGTTAACGTGCTTCTGTGCGGCTACATCATCAGGCCTCTGGTAAGAATTTCATCATTAACCAGGAGGAGGCGCAATAAATCCATCATCTTTGGTCCTTCCTCCCCCCACCCCCCGCCCTGATTGTAATGCATACTATAATAATTAGTTTTCTGCTTGGGTCTGTTATGATTTTGGAATTCAAAACCCTAAACATCTAAAATTTAGATCAATGTGTTATGATGCTTACTAGATCAGAAAAGTCAAAGCCCCAGCTGCATATCTTCATTCCTTACTAGAATTATATTCACAGAAGCCAGGAGACCCTTGTTAAGAAAACTCCGATTTGTCCAGAATAAGTAGAAAGAAGCAGGCATTGGGTGCAGATTGCTAATGTTCAGAAGGATTCTTAGTGCAACTATATACACCACCCGAAAGCTGCACCAAACTTAATTTGTCATTTAAAAGCCCTTTCAGACGTGATCAGGGGGATGGTAATTCTGGTTAATCAGGCTTATTCCTCAGCTGTATTTGCCTCTCAACATGCACTGAGTCTCTCTAGGAGCAGATCCGCTCACTTCTGTTTAAAGCACCTCACTGGCTCCCTGTGGTCAGCATTCTAGCCCTGATGATTGGACCCCTGCCCCTCCACGCCTCATTTTGTAATACCTGCTCACCTTCCTCCCTGTACTACAGACACACTTACCATCTTTCACTTCATCAAATGCATCTCAGTTTCCCCGCCTCAGGGCCTTTGCATGTGCCATTCCTTCTGCCTGAGCAGGAGATGGACACACTCCCCCTTTTTCTCTTTCTCTGTCCTCTTCCCCTCCCCACCCAGCTCCCACTTGGCTAAGTCCTCTAGGTCTTGTAACAAAAAGGTTGGGAACACAGACTCTGAGCTCAAATTCCCTTTCTACACTTCTAGAACTCTGTGACCTTGAAAATTTACTGAAATTTTCTGAGCTTCATCACCTGCATGGTGCTGTTTTGATGGTTCAGTGAGAGATTACATGTAAAGAAAGCCCTTAACGCCGCTGGGACATTAACACGCTCCATAAGTGTCCACTGTTATCAGTTGCTTGGTTTTCAGGTCTTAGCTCAAACATCTTTTTCTCCAGGAAGCCTTTTCTGACCCTCTAAACTAGGTTGGGCTCCCTTTTCTACATTCTTATAGATATCTATGCTTTTTTTTCCTTTAGAGATATATTGCTGTTTGAATTATATATTTGTGCAGTTCTTTGATTAAGACCTATCCCCCAAACACACTCTAGACGCTGAACTTTGTGAGTACAGAGCTGTGTCTCTGCCGTGAGGTGTATTGCCTGGCAGAGTGTCACTGCGGAATGAGTGAAGGGTGACAGTGGCTGTCTGTTTCCGTGCATCCATATTGCTCTGTGTACCTCCCTTGTTCACGCCTACCTCTCTGCTGGGTGGACTTTCATGCCCACATGGGAAAGATCCTATCACCATCCCAGCCATATAGACCCTAAGCGCTGGCCTCCTGGCTGCTTCCCTCCTCTGGCATCCTCTTCCCCTTTGGTCCTGTGCTTGGTGGCCCCTGCTGCCAGCTTTGGCTGAGGCTCTCAATAGGGCATTCAGGGTTAGCCTGCTTGAACCTGAATCGACCTCTCCCTGTGTCCATCCAGCCTCCACCATCTACCTCCCACCAGTCAATTCACCCAACTAGCAGGTGCCTCTCTGCAGATAATCAGGGACAGACTGAGGGGAGGCCTGGAGGCTGCTGGGGTAGATGATCAGCTGGAGCTTTGTAGTAGGTGGTTTAGACAGTAAGAAGAGCTCTGGGCATCTGCTTCACTAAGGAAATAGACTGCAAGCCGGCTAGTGTGTTTCTTTTGTGTCTTGATTGTTTCCATAAGGATTGAAGCAGCTTCCAGAAAAAGTATATGGCAGTTATTGAGCTGTAAACGTTGAAAACATAGAAATCCACTAATAAAAGAAAATGGAGGGAAGGCAGAAGAAATTGACTAGAAATGAGGGGCCAAAGAGGTGCCACCACCCTGCAGCACTAAACTTAGCCAGGAGCAAAGCAAAAATGCAGGGCCAGGCCCGGAGGGTCAGAGCAGCTGTTATATACAAGCTGCGTTTGGCCTTGAGGTTGGCCGAGAAGAGTTGCGATAGTGTTGCTGACAGCATTATCCTAGGCCCTCAGACTTGAACTACTATCTGTAGGAGCCTGGTGGATTTAGAAAACAGGCCAAGAGCAGGATGCTGGCCAGAAGTGGCATTCAGCCCCTGTACGGGTACCCACGTGATCAAACAGGCCATGCATGGCTGTGTTTGTTCTGATTGGTTCATAAGGGTAAATCATTTTGAATCACAGCCTGAAGATTTTAGTGATGTGGCCTGTGCCACACTGAAAACAAACGCCCCTCTTGAAAGAACCACTTCTAGACTGTTGTCTTGTGAGAACAAAGGATCAGTGTGAAGAGAGAGAACTTCAGATTTTTCAAGAAAAGGCATAAATCCAGGTTTACATATGAAATCTGACTCGTGCATGTTGGCAACTCTTTAAAAAAGGATATCTTGGAGCGGGGTATTTTAAGTCAGTTACTATGATTATTTTTTAAATTTTATTTTATTGTGGTAAGGACACATAACATGAAGTCTACCCTCCAAACAAGCTTTTAAGTAAGTGTTCATGTGGGCGCTTCTATCTTCTTGATACAGTAATACTCTGGGATGAGGATGCTGTCATCTTAACTGTTCTGATGTAGAACAAAGACGGAAACGTTAATTAGTCATCTTAACATTAAAAAAAAAATATATATATATATATATATATAAAAGGAGTTTAAACTAGGTCCTGCTGGCCATCTGTGCTCTTACTGCTAGACAGTTGGGCAGTAAAGAGAGGTCATATAGTGGGATGGTCCAAAGTTGTTTCAGCACGTCCTAGATTCAAATCCTGGCTTTCCCACTTGCTACTTCTGTTCCTTTTTTTTTTTTGTAAAACAAATTCAATAGGATCTTCTCAAGGTTTTTGAAAGATTAAATGAATTACAATGTGTAGCACTTCACATAGTGGCTGCTGCCTATGAGGATCACAAATGGTTTTAAAGAACGAAACGAAAACTCACTCTAAAAAATTTTCCCCAAACAGCTGTTGTTTTCCATTCCCCATCTTCAAGCATTTAATTCTTCTGATTTTTTTTTTCTTTTTTTTTCTCCTAGAATTTGTTTTGGTTTGGCGTAGGAGAAGCTACTGTATTTTTACTTCCGGCTCTAATTTTTGCCGTGAAGCTGGCCAAGTACTATCGTCGAATGAATTCGGAGGATGTGTATGATGAGTAAGTATGTGGGTTTCCACGGGGCCGCGGGGGGTCATCTGCTAGTGGTGCTGTCTTCAAAGAGATGAGCTCTGATGAGATTAAACTTGATTTTTTAAAAAAAAAATTTTTAAGTAGTGGGTCATTTCTGTTCAGGTGTTTTGCTGGGATTTTTATTGCACCGATTTTCTTATGCTTGTGTTAACGTTTTTTTGTTTTTTTTTTTCTTCTTGCTTAATCCTCTCAGCTTTCGTAACCAGCCTTTTTATTTCTTATTTACAGTTCCTCTCTCTCGGGGACTTGGCAGTTCACTTTATGATAACTGTTTTTACTACTTTCTGTTTTGGCTCTGTAGTCTGCCCTTCATTGTGTCTGGTGAACTTGCGTGTTTCGTTCTTTACTTCACTCATCTCAACGTGTGTGTCTCCTGGGTTTGCGCTGTGTCAGTGTCTGTATTAGAGTAAACATACGGGGGCTGGAGCTGTTAAGCTTTAATAGTAACAAGAAAAGTAATCGTATGTCCCTTTTTTGTATTTTGTAGTGTTGAAACTATACCCATGAAAAAGTAAGCCCTTTTTTTTTTTTTAACTCTATTCATAGATGGGATTGGGGGGGGAGGTTTTATTATTATGTGAGGGACTTTTAAAATTAAATTAATAACATCTTAAAATGAAATAAAAACAATAGATTTGTCCAGGTAAAAAATAAATTGTGATGCCTCTTAAAAGACAGCTGGCATATAGAAGGTACTCAAGAAATATTTATTGAATTAATGAAAATTTTATATGTAAAATGTATTAATCTATAAAGTAGTCATTTTGGTCTTTGGGTTTTTAGAATGTAAATATACCTGTTTACCTTCTTTGTAGATGTAACAAATTGTCACATACTTTTCACGACCATTACATTGCTTTTGTACTCCATAATATAAATACTTCATCTTAGAGATAACATGGTGTTTTTGGTGTATTTATTTTTGTTACAGTATGGAAAATGGTAATAATGGTTATCATAAAGATCATTTGTATGGTATTCACAATCCTGTTATGACAAGGTAAAGCAAAGTGTGGAAGTGCATGCGTGTCCCATGACAAACCTTCTCATCTCCTGTAGATCCAACACTGGATTTTCTGCATGTGGTTCATGCCTTCACTTCTCTCTGCGTGATGCTCTATCAGTGCCCTACATAGCATTCTATGATGCCACAAGGTTAAATAGTCAATAGATTTCTAAACATTGGAATATTTCAGCAGTTAAAATTTGGTGTCATCTTAAAATGCTATGTCTGGCTATAGATCACTAAGGATTAAATGCATGCACATCTTCCATTTAGAATCTCTCTGCACCGAATAAACTGAGCAGTTGGTTTTCAAAACTGTTTTCTTCCTTCCCTCTCTCCCCTCTTCCCTCCCTCCTTCCCTCCTTCCTTCTTTCCTTCTGATAAATTAACTATAATCAATCAGTAAAAGAACCCCAACCCTTCTTCCAAATCTTTATGAATTTGTATTCTCTGGAATTAAGGAGCTTTTATGGTTCTGGATCTTTGTCAGGTAACTCTGAGCACCACTTCCCAGGGGTCTTCTTCTGAAGCTCCACTAAAAATCCAGACCCACACGTCAACCAGGGACCCCCTCCTGTCTGCACAGAAGAGGTGGGGCTATGACGTGCGAGGACCAGCAGGGCCGCAGTGGCTGTCCTCTTCAGTGTGCATGGTGGTCCTTCCCCATGTCCCTGCAGCTGGCCCCTGGCTGGTGTTCCTCCCTCCCAACCCAAGTGACATCTCAGGTGCAAAGGAGTGGGTCTGACACTGGTGCACAGGGTCCACGTTCTCTGAGAAGGCCCACGCTCCACGAGGGTTGGGAAGCCCATGGCTTTGCTTCACACCAGGTATCTATATTTAAGGCCTCCCCATCCAGATGCAATCTACCAGGCAGGTGCATCCTTATCCTAAGCAACGTTGCCTAGTGACAGCAGATACTCTACTTTTGGCAGGTTTCAAGATGAACAGAACCAGAAAGTTATTAAAATTTGTCTTTTCGGAAGGATAAAAGGTTTACCTAACTAACAACTTTGAACATTAAAAAAACTTTAGAATTTTTCATTTTAATTTGCCATTTAGGGAGAGGAAAATTGTCTTAGTGCATGTGGGCTGCTAACAAAATACCATAAACTAGGTAGTTTATAAACAACAGAAGTTTATTTCTCACAGTTCTGGAGGCTGGGAAGTCCAAGGTCAGGGTGCTGGCAGATTCCGTGTCTGCTGGGGGCCTGTTTCCTGGTTGATAGATGGCCCCTTCTTGCAGTGTCCCCACACGGTAGAAGGGGTGAGCTAGCTCTCCGAGGTCCCTTTTACAAGGGCACTAACGAGGCAATAATGGGACCTAATCACCTCCCCAAAGGTCCAACCTCCTGATACCATCATCCTGATTCGAATTTCAACACATGAATTTTGGGTGGACACAAACATTCAGACCATAGCAGAAATGGTGGTAATAAAAAGCAGGAACAGTCAAGTTCTGAAAAGGCAAATTGATTCCATCTCATTTGCTACTTCTAATATGCCAGATTTGGTTGCTGGAGTGCTGTGTTGTGACAGATTTGAAGGTGGATTCAGGACAAGTATCAATGAGCCAGGTCTGCTCTGGGGAGAAGAGGGAATGCGGTTGCCCGTGTCATATGCTAGGCTGCCCTTTCAGGGTGTAGCATGCTACCTTATAGTTATGGACTGGAAATTTCAACATCAAAGGAGAGCTGTTCTCCACTCCCTGTGTTGCCCTAACATCAGATCTTCCAGCACTTTGTGAATTTGTAGAATTGATTCCTGGCGCCTGCCTCTTGCTTGTGAAGTCTCCAGAAATACTCTCTGTACCAAGAACCGGTACACTTCACAGGGCTGCGTGAAGGATGCTACGGGGAAAAGCGAACCTGGGCAGGAGGGTGCCGTAGGTGGGTTTTCTGGAAGCAATGCTAAGATGGAGTTTGGGGTGCAGGATGTTTATGAAGATCCACAGTTGTGCAAGGAAGGGGGCAGAAGTCAAGAAGGGCCTGCCAGAGCCTCGGTCCCCCTGGTGGGGAGCTCTGGAGCCAGCATTGCCTGCCCACAGTGTCCCCATTGGGCCCAGCTGAGCCTTTGTACCCTACCTCCCTCAGTCACTGGACAGGGCCACCCAGGGAGGACGAGACCCTGCCAAGGGCTGGATGAGGTAACAAGGTGAAACATTCACCTTTGGCCAGTGTAAGCCCTTAGTTTACTGGTTTCTGGTTCACTGTGATAATAATTTTGTTTCCTTATCACTTTGACATTTATGGTGGAAGGAGCCCAAAGGTGATTGAGATGACAGGTGTGCCTCTAATCTGCCAGCCGAGCTAGCACCGCTCAGGCTGTGTGCGCCGCGTGCAGGCTGTGGCTGTGAGCGCAGCCGCCCGGGGAGGCCTCCGTTCAGACAAACCCGGGCGCTCGCCCGCTTCACGCGGTCTTGCTGCTGCGGTTTCTCCTCGGGTTCAACGCCAAACTGTCACACGCTGCCAGCATCTCAGGGCAAGACTAGGTTTGGGAGCGAAATGAGCAGTGCATGGAGAGCATGCTTGGCTCTTCAAGAAAAGCCTTCTGCAAATCAGGATGCTAATACTTACCAGGTCAGGAGCAGTTTGACAACAAATTCTCTTAAAAAGGAACAGGAAGCGAGATGCTCCTGGTGGCAAACTCAGTTTCATAAACTAGCTATTTTTCCCCTTCCCTTTTCCTTCCCTGTTATTTTTAAATACACACACACACACACACACACACTCATGACCTTTAATTAGTCTATCACACAGTGGTGATTTGTTTGCTTTTGTTTGAAGGAAAAGGCGACAATATAAACCTACCTAGATAAGCCTGGAGTTTTTTTTTCCAACGATGCTTCCGCCTCCCACACCAAGTTTGCAGAGAAAGTGGAGACATTTTGAGCTCAGCAAGTGTTGAATGACTCATTTCTGAACCTTTCCCTTGACCCTTCATAGGTCACTAAAGGTCAAGAGTGTGACTTCTAGGGAGATCTATATAGATTGATCTTCAGCTTCCTCACCTGTAAAAAGGGGCTAATAACAGCCCCCTTTTCTCCCTCTAGGGAATTCTATAGCTTTTTTTTTTTTTTTGGTGGAGATAAATGTATTCTCTCTAGCTCTGGCTTCAGAGATCAAGAAAGTTGCTTCACGTGCAGCCACAAAGGCTTAAGGGTAGCTAGAGTCGGGCCGGTGGCAGCCCCAGAAATCGGCATAGGACAGCTTCCTGCCTCATCCTATCCTGCACAGTCAGCCCTCTGTGGCTGTTGTCACCACCTGTCATTTGCAGGTAGACTTGGGGATATGAAGGCCACGCCCAACGCCCCACAGCCAGGCAGGGGCCAAGCTAAGATAGGAACCACTCTTTCTCCTGTTCTCCCAAACTCAGGTGGGCATAGAAAAGGTCCCAAAGCAGAGGTGAACAGACCACATAGAAATTTGGTATTTTTCCCAGTTTTCACTCTGAAGAACACCAAGTTGGTAGAAAGAGGAACAGATGAGTTGAATTTTGCCAGAAAATCTAGTTTTCTGGAAAGGAGAGAAATCTGATTTTGATATGAAATTTCCCTTTTAAATGTTAGCAAATGATGTCGAGAAAAAAATACCAGGAGGGCCCAGCAAAATATGTCTACAATGCGCCTTCTTGTTACCCCCGCTGACGAGGGTGTGCGTCACGCCCGGCGGCACTGTAGAGCTTAGGCAGAAGCAGGAGCGCCGCGCGGTTGCATTTCTGCAGCCCAGAGGACAGGTGTGTCCCAGGGAATGCCACGTGAGCAACAGCCCAGCCTCACCTGCGCATGCTCCGGCTGCCCGGGGCCCAGGGAGGGTACTTAGAGCCCCCTCCCCTGTGCGATGTTTCAGGCCTTAGGTGGCCAGGGCCTTTCTTTTTCTGCAAAGGTGAGAGTACTTCAGTGGCAAACAGAGTCTGCCTCCCGTCTGTTGGCCAGGCTGCCCAGAGCCCTGTGTTGATTGAGATCTGGACGTAGAATCCAAACTAACTCAAAAGTGGAGCCACTGGCGTGTGACGTCTGCTCTGCGGAGAGGGCTGTCCCAGAGGTCTGTCTCGGCCTCCTTTATTTTATTAGCTTATTGTGTTGATCACCCTAGAAGTTATCAGAGTCCGAATCCTCACGGCTTGAAGAAATGTGTCCTCCAGATAATGGTCCCAGCTAAGGGCCCATTGTTCCCGCCGAAGCAGGAGCTTCCAGGTTTAGTTTTAGTTGCTTGCTGTGGTCTGAATGTCCCCTCCAAAACCCATGTTGGAATTTAATTGCCGTTGTGACGATATGCAGAGGTGGGACCTTTGAGAGGCTCTCCCCTCATGAGTGGATTAACGTGCTTATTGCAGGGTTGGTTATTGCGGGAGAGGGCTGCTCATAAGAGGATGGAGTTTGGCCCCTCTCCTCTCTGTCTCTCGTGCTCAGTTGCTCTTCCACCATGGGACAGTGCAGCACAGAGGCCCTCACCAGATGCTGGCACTGTCTTCTTGGACTTCCCAGCTTCCAGAACCATGAGAAAAATATGTCCTTCTTTCTTTTTTTTTTTTTTTTTTTGAGACAAAGTCTCACTCTGTTGCCCGGACTAGAGTGCCATGGCATCAGCCTAGCTCACAGCAACCTCAAACTCCTGGGCTCAAGCAATCCTGCTGCCTCACCCTCCCAAGTAGCTGGGACTACAGGCATGTGCCACCATGCCTGGCTAATTTTTGTTGCTATTTTTAGTAGAGATGAGGTCTCACTCTTTTTCAGGTTGGTCTAGAACTCCTGACCTCAAGCGATCCTCCCGCCTCGGCCTCCCAGAGTCCTAGGATTACAAGCATGAGCCACCACACCCAGCCAAGAAATAAATTTCTGTTGTTTATAAATAACCCAGTCTCTGGTATTCTCTTATAGCAGCAGAAAACAGACTAAGACATTGCTCACGTCGGTTTCTTTTGCCCATTTCCTGCTTCTAAGGTCTCCAGAGTACCCTCTTTCCAGGATGGGGTGGTAATTACTGTCTGCGGGCCCCAGGAGAGGCACAGCTGGGCAGGAGGAGAACCAGTGGTCCAGTTAGGGTGCCCAGCATCCCTTTGCTCAAGAAGGCAAATGCAGATGTTCTTTAGAAATGATCACCAGAGCCTACAGTCCTTCGTAACACTCAGCCCCAGGACCTGCTGTCTGTGGGCAGTAGCAGGACACTGAGCCAACCCCTGCCTGTACCCTTTTCCAGGGACCCTCTGAGTCCCTTCAATAAAGAATGTGTTTCTTTACTGAGAGAGAAAAGGAGTGCAGGAAAATGCACGCAGGACCAAGCATGTGCAGTTTCCACAGTCAAACGCTTTGGAAGGAACACCCTGCCTTGCAGGTGCTCTGATGTCCTCAGTGCATGTCCTCCCCCAACCTCCTGTGTCTGCCACAGCACTGCATCTGGGCACGGTGCATCCTACACATTCAGAGGGGTTGTGATCTACCCAGAGGCACAGTCGGGGAGGGTAGTGCCAGAGTCGAGACTACAGATATTCCAGACGGGGCTCACTAGTCTCCCAGTTGTGTAAACCTCTCTTGGTTGTCAAGGCCATGTTCTCAGAGTAACTTCACATGTCAGTAGGGCTACCGTTGATTGTTAACCCAGGGACCCACTCAGAGGGCATGTGCACTGTCTGGTCTCATGCCCGTGCATTTGCAGTTGTAACAAGGTCCCTGCAGAACTTCCATTTGCTTCTGTCTTCTTGTCCTAGAAGTAGACTTTGGCCAGACTCTTGTGGTCTGGTTTCTGCTAGTCTGGTGTCTTCAACACACATTCTTCATGACCTTTATCACTTTTAACCTTAGATTGTGAACATTCACAACTCTACTTGTCAGGGCTTGTTTCTCCCTCTATCTTCTTTATCCTCTTTTTAAAAGCAATACAAACAACTTAGAAGAACCAAAGTTCCATCTGACATGTTCTTCCTGATAAACTTTCTGAAGTGTGGTCTGTGTTCATGGTTCCCTGTAGTCACATGCCTGCTTCTCAGCACAGAGCCCATGCAACCACCCACAGCTTTGCCTGAGAGTGTTATATTTGTGTATTTTTTGTTTTTTAGCCCACCTAAATGACAGCTGATGTTGAAATTGCTTGAGGTAAGTTTGACGCTTTCATATAAGATAATTTATAGAGTATAGTTTTTAAAACGTTTAAAACATAGCTAATACATTAAGTAGAAAATCTAGGTCAGTGTACAGGTTATATATGATGATTTTATATATTCATTCTGCATCTGTATTTGCAGGTTACACATCCACAGATTCAACCAAATGTGGATTGAAAATATTCTAAAAAATAAAAAATAACAATACAACAATAGAAATAATACAAATTTTAAAAATACAGCACAACAACCATCTGGGGGATGGTCATGCTGGAGACTCAGACTTGTGGGGGGGGGGAAATGAGCATCTATTGAAACCTTAAAATCTGTACCCCCATAATATGCCAAAATAAAAAAAAATACAGCACAACAACTATTAATATTAACATAGCATTCACATTGTATGAGGTATTACAAGTAATCTAAAGGTGATTTAAAGTATATGGGAAAATATTCCTAGAGATCCCAGAACCAATTCTCCATAGATACCTAGGGACGACTGTATATACGTATGATACAATGACTCTCTGTATATACATTGACTATATGTGCGTGTTTGTGTGTACATGTATACACATGGTGACTATATGTGTATATAGTTTAAAAAAAAAAAAAAAAAAAGCCAGGCGTGGTGGCACACGCCTGTAGTCCCAGGAACTTGGGAGGCTGAGGCAGGAGGGAGGATCGCTTGAGCCCAGGAGTTCAAGGCCGCAGTATGCTGTGAATCGCCACTGCACTCCAGCCTGGGCTAGCAAGACCTCTTAAAGACAAAAAAAAATCTAGATATCTGTGTACTGACCTTGAATATTATAGACTTAAAATTTTTTTATACATTTCTGTATTTTAAAAAAATGTCTTGTAAAAAACATATTTTTGTGCCTCTTAAACACATTTATATTTTCTCTGGAGGTCTTGGACTCCTGGTGGGGACTATTTTAGGATTATGCATTCTTAGTTTTCTCTTTAGTAAATCCAAAACCAGTTTCTAAAATTTTGTTTGGCCTTCATTTCAGCATCAAGAAACTCAAAGAGGAAAGGATCACAGATTTTTGATAGTTTCTGGGCCTACAAGGACTTTCCAAATCCAGGAAGAATGCTGGTGGGGACACAGTGACTCCAGCGGGCACCAAGGAAATGGCATCGTTGGTCTCTGGGTAGCGCTTTGTTAGGAATGAACATAGTTACATTTCTAGTCCACGTGTCCATCACTATTCAAGGATGATTCCCCCCCCCCCATGCCCCCTTTATTTTTGTTTTTTACTTTTTTACACTTGGTTTTTATTTAGACACTACAACATATAGGGTGTTTCTTCCCACTCGATGCATTTCTGTGTCAAAAAGCTATTCCAGTGCGATGGCTGGATTTCTAACATACTGTCATATGTGGAGTGTGCTAACATGTACCAGTTTAATAGGAAAGATGCATTTTGTGTACAGTAAATATCATATATTTCTTTCGTTATCACAGTCGGAGTTTTTAAACAAATGAGCATTATAGGATTTTCTTCTAAATGGACTCACTGTCAGGTCAGTGTTGACTTATTGGTGCTGTTGAAATAATCCATTTTCACTAAAGTGGATGAAACCTACAGTATATCCTTCCTCTCAGAGATTTTCATCTACTTTGTCAATGATTTATCATATTCCATTTGGAAATAGATTGCAAAAGCAATCACAGTGAAACCTGCTTAGCTCCAGTCTGGCAAATTCAACCCAGAGAGAGAGAGAGAGAGAAATCTTGAGAGAAAGAAATGCTGTTCTCTAGAGAGTGAAGTTGTTTTAACAAATGCCGGTTGCAATGTACACTTTGATGGAGTTTTCTGATTTACGAGGATAAACATTAATTGGAATGCAGCTAACGTGAATATCCTATGATTATTGGTGAGAATTCTAAAGAGAAATGTGAGAAGATCCTGTCATGATTCTTAGATTTGGTTTCCAACGTGATGAAACCTTAGAGTTTGATCCTTAAAAAAAATACATGAAAGCACAAAGTAAATATCAGTTTGCTTTAGGATTTTTATGTTGGATTTGTCATTATCAAAAGTGAACAGCAATGAAAAACTGGTCAAACAAAATTGAACATTTATGGAAGGAAATTCAAGATGTGGGCTTTTCACTAGGTCTTTTCATTCCAGTCCTGGTTCATTTCAATAAAAAGGAACTTGTAAAACATGATCTGTATGTTGCTTTCTTGAGTAGACTTAGAGGCTGTCAAATCTTAAACGATGAAATTTGGGCTTATGTTATTTGTTTTTTCTACTACTTTCCCATCATAAGAGTGGCCGTTATATGGAAGTGATACAAGATCAATATCAACATCTTGCCTCCTCAAAGCAGGCTGTCTCTCAGATCCTCAAGTTTTTAGAACTCAAGCCACCATTTCTCAGGGAACAGTCCGAGTCACTTGAACACCTGCTATAGGCAAACTCTACTTTGTCCGACGTGCTCCTAAATGTACCTGTGCAATTACACGTGAGAGGCTTACAATCTGAGCAAATTCAGCTATGGAGTGTGTAATTCTTTTGGAAGAAATCATCCCTTGTCATTTTTTTTTGAAGACCTGATTTCTCTATCCCGCATTTAAAAACTTCAAATTATTCAAGCCAACTGAATTTAGAACTCCATAGCTTCACTCCTGCAGCTTTTCGCTATTTACTTTTCAGTATCTCCCGCTGCCAAACACGCAGCTATTAGGATATGGTCTTCACGTTCTCATCTTTCCTAGAAAATTAGCTTTTCCTCAACCTCACAGAACACTCACGCATGGTAGGGCAACATGTTTTCTCTTTCTTCCTCCCTTCGCAAATAAAGTCCTTGAAAGAATCCTCAGCATGTTTCAATCTCCGAGTGTTTCTCACCTCCATTGGCTTTTGGCTCCTGCGATCAGGCCTCCTTCCCTTCCAGCCCTTTGAAGGGCTCCTGTCAGGTCACCAATGACAGGCGACCGCTGCCTCTTTGCAAAGATCTCCTCTGAAGGAGCCCTCTGCTGTGTCTTCCTGGGGCTTGGCTGTCTATTCCTCCGTCTCTTGCCTATGCTCACCTTCTCTCCTGCCCTTACGTTTAGTTTTAGGTGTTCTCAGGTTCTCTACTGGCCCATGCCTGTCCCTCGCCTTCTCCTTGGGTGATTTCACCCACGGCTGTCCTGCCCCTCTCGGTTCTCATGACATATCTGTGGTCACAGCAGAGCTCCAGCAGCCCGCGTGCCCACTGCACTTCCCCATCTGGATGTGCCTTAAGCCAGAGTTCAGCCATCTTTCTCCACAAAAAGGGTCAGGCAGCAAATACGTTTGGCTTTCTGGGCCATGGGGTCTGTGTCTCTGTCATAGCAGAAAAGCAGCAGCCTAGACAGTATGTAAGTGAACAGGCACTGCTGCTTTCCAGAACAACTTTACCAAAACAGGCCACACGGGCCACAGCTTACTGCCTTTTCCTGCCCACCACTGCCTTTTCCTGCCCACGCCCACTGGCTCCTTCCACCAGGTCACCTTTCTTGAATTACTCTACCTTCACCTTAGCACTTGAGCCAGAGGTGCCAGCCAAGTCTGCTTTCTGTCTCCCTTCCCCCCACCCTTGGTGCCTAAGCTTTCGTCCCCACCCCACTGGTGCTACCTTCCTACAGGTTTCACATGTGTCTTGGCTAGTGTGGCATTCTCCTCCTCTTTCTGTTCCGCTTCCAGCCCCTGAGTTTTGGCTGGACCTGTGTGGGGACTGCATTTCCCAGCCTGCAGCTAGCTAGGTGTGGCTGAGTGACTAGGCCTAAGCCAGTGGCCCATGAATGAAGTATCTACCAATACAAAGCTGAGAATCCCAGACTCGTTCCACTGGAAATGGCATTGACCTGACAAGCCTGGGAAGCCATGGGTTAAATCTGAATAACTGCCTGGCTAAAACCTGCCGGTATGATAGAGAGGATCTTTTGTTACAGCAGCTCAACATGTGCACAACTCGCTCAGTTACCAGCCTGCCCGCTAACCCCCCTGGGCACAGCCTCATACCCCTGCCAGGCCTTTCTCAACATCGTCATGAGATAAATCTCCTACAATGCAATTCTGATCGCGTCACTCCCTACTTAAAGATGGACAAGCAAATAAAGAACAGAAATCACTGCTGTTAAGAGGATTAAAGCAGGATGAAGTAATGGCATAATGGAAGAGCTCCTTTATGTTGGATAGTTAGGGAAGAAGGCGGGAAGGAGCCAGGTAGGCAGTAATCAGGGAAGAGAAGATGCCAGGCGGTGGGCACAACCAGTGCAAAGGCCTTGAGGTGCAGCTTGTTCCAAAAACCAAAGGGGGAAGAATGTGATTAGAGCGCTTTTGATAAGTTCCCACTGCAGGGTAAGATCAGACTCACTAAGGAGTCAGAAAAGACTGGCCACAACCTCCAAGCAGCTGGGTAGGTGGGACAGGGGGTTCCCTGCCCAAGACACTGCTGTGAGTGGGGGTGGGAGCCGGACTCCACCTGCCCTTCCCAGACACCACGTGGAGTCTGACTTGGACCATTCCCCCTACAGGATCCTGGCTCGGAAGTGCACAAAGGCCAAGCCTCCGCCTTCAGAACTGGTGCGATGGGTCATGTGAGTCAGGGCAGAGGCTGTGGGTCCCCTCCCTGGGTCATCTCTCCCAGGAGCCCATAAGCTCTCTTTTCAGGTCTTAAGCACCTGCCCTGTAGCCCTTCTTAACCTGACAAGTTGACTGACTTGTCCTGAAGGTTCCCTGCTCCCCAGGAGGTTGGAGTGACCCCTCTTCTGAGAAGCCTGGAGCACTGTGAACACACATGGCTGCCGAAGCTCAGACTGGCTTTAGTTCCAGCCTCACTGGGTCTTCTCGGGGCTCAGGCTACCCGGGCGGAAGGGAGGCTGGGTAAGACACCAACCAGCCCACGTGAGACCACCAAGGTACAATCCCTCATATTCAACCTGGGCACACGGTGTCTGCCAACACTAACCAATGTCTGCCAAGGTCAACCATAAATTGCCACCTTTAGACCATTCTGCAGAGACCTCTGAAAGGGTCATAGAAAGACAGTTATGAGCATAACAAAATATGATTCTTGACTCAGAGTCAAAAGTTATTTTCAATTTCCTTTGCTCTTCTTTATTTAGTACAATAATAATCCTTAAAACCGAGGAGGCACACTAGGTAACTTTCAGCCGGGGCGGAGAGGGGGGGCCCTGTGTCCCTGTGTACATAGCACACACTCCCACACAATTCTTTTTTTTAAACCTCAGAGTCTTTTTTTGCATTTGCTAAACCATCTCACAAGACTTGGGCTGACAAGACTGGTCTCCTTTGGATTAACTAAACCCATGCCTCCCCACGATAGGGACCCCAAGGGGTATGGAGCCCCAAGACAACCCCAGGCTCTGAGCTACAAACCTCTCTTTCCAGAACTTCTCTGACACACCTTGGAATTTCCCAAATGTTGACAAAGAAGGCTGTTCCCGTTACAAGGACCAATTATAGAGCAAGCTGCCTATAGTTAGAAAATGCAAAGCCCTCACCCCCAGGCCTGCGTGTAGTGCTTTGTGTGCGGCCTGGGCAGCACTGGGCAGGGTTTGTGTTAGGTGCTAGGTGGGTCCGGGCGGCTGCTCCACTCTTGCCAAACGCTGCGTGTCCAAGGTCTGCATGCTTGTTTTCCCATTGCTGCGGAACACCCTGCCCACCCTCGCAGAAAAAGAGTCTTTTGTGCAGCACCCTTTAAAGGGTGGCTTGTCCCATTCAGGTTCTCTCTCCTGGTGCCGGGTTGCAGGCAGGTTTATCACAGCATCGCCATGAAGTCCATCCCCTGCCTCTTGCTGGTGGCCTTGTCCTTCCTGGGGACTTTGGGGCAGGCTCCAAGGCAAAAGCAAAGACACGCTGGGGAGGAATTCCATTTCCAGACTCGAGGGAGAGAATCCTGCACCGTGCGAACCAGTGGCTCGGGGCAAGGCGCTGGGGACGTCCGGCTCCGCGTCGACTGCCACAATCAAACCCAGGCGTACTGGTGCGAGTACAGCGGGCGGCCCGGTGTGTGCCAGGCCTTCGTGGCTGACCCCAAGCCTTACTGGAACCAAGCTCTGCAGGAGCTGAGGCACCTCAGCCACCCGTGCCAGGGAGCCCCGGTACTGAGGCCGTCTGTGTGTCAGACAGCCGGGACCCAGGCGCACATGCAGCAGGTGGCTTCCAGCCTCAAGAGTGGCCCAGCACCCAAGCAGCACCCCGAGACTGCCAGGGCTGGGAAGCCGTCTCCCAGGCCCGGGGTCCCATCGAAACCCATGAAAGCAATTCAGCTGGGAAAGGACTCCGTGAAAAATCTGGAACAAGCCAACCCCCCCACCCAACCCACGGTCAAGGCTACCCAGGCTGGACCCAGGTCCGCCGGGAATGAGGAAGCAGAGAAGAAGGCCTGGGAGCACTGCTGGAAGCCCCTCCAGGCCCTGTGTGCCTTTCTCATCAGCTTCTTCCGAGGGTGAAATGGTAAGGAACCCTCCCCCGTCCTCCCAGGCAATGCACTTACCTTTACTCACACAGACTCGTGGAGGGACACGTACCACTTCCGCAACTGCTGTGACTGCATCAGAGTCTCAGCGTGGCTTTGAGGCTGGGATTAAGGGTCTCTGTTGCAGAACAGAGCAGATGAGGTAGGGCCGAGGACATCAGCACTGGCGCTTGACCCTGGTGACACACGAGAACCACCAAGGAAGCTTTTAAAAATGCTGCTGCCCAGGCCCCACCCCAGACGGTTTAATCACTGTGTCCAAGGCAGGGGCCCGGGAATGTGTGCTCTTAATACTCTCTCCCAAGTGGTTTGAATGTAGCCAAGGTTGAGAATCGCCCTTTGATGGGCCCACCTCGCTGCTACACTGAGGCCTTTGGAATTCTGGCTGGAGACTGTTCCTACTGAACCCAGTCTCTGCTGCAGTTCTTTGTGGCCAGGGTGAGAGACGGAAGAGATTGCCTGTGGGCACCTGAGTTTTCGCCGCGATCAGGTGTGTGTGTTTCAGACCTTGCATTCCTGCTGGCGTTCACAATCTCCATGTGTTCCGCGCAGGAGATGGGGCCGGGGAGAGAGATGTGGGACTCACTTCTCAGATCTGACATGAAGTGGGAGCGTGGAAGAAAAGGGTTTTCTGGAGCCTGGACAGGGAGACGCATCTCTTGGGTGCCCGGAGACCTGGGTTCGAGCCCCCAGCTTTGCTGCAGAGGTGCCGTGTCATGGGGGAGCAGTCGCTGCACCCCTCTTGTTCTCAGTTTCCTTTCCTGTAGCTGAGCTAGGGGGGAGGGTGTTGTGCAGGGAGACAGGTTTGGACCAAATAATCTTCAAAGTGTTTCCCACAGCTCTCAAAGCCTTTAATCATTTTTTTCATTGCAGGAGAGAAAAATCCAATTAATATTAACAGATTTAATCAACTCCAAGTATTGCTTTCAAGAGATCAAACTTTTTCTCTTGTGAAAACAAGGCTTATTACTGATCTCTATCCTTAAATGTGGCACCTTTCATTAATTTTACACACCAGAAAGGAGTTAATCTGCATGCAATTCTAGGCTTACTTGTGCAGTTGGAGTTTGCAAACAGAGTGTCTGAGTTTTTCATATTTTCTATGTAAGAAAAACAGGAAGAAAAAAAGCAGATTTCCTGGTAAATATCACCTTGATAACTAACACCATAGAACAAATTTGCCTTTCTTCTGAAAATGCTGGGGTAGCAGGAGACACTGTGTCACACCAGAGCTGGCTTAGCGTTTGCTGCTCTGGGCTGGAAGTTTCCTGCTTATTTAATATTCCAGACCCGTCCCAGAGGAGAAAAGGGGCCTTTTGAGCCGGAAATAGATAATTACGACTGAGGAGAAATCCTGGTTTCTTTTTTCTTTTGAAAGCAGATTTTAAAAATTTGTCTCTGTGCAAATAAAACACATAAATTATTTAAAAAATAATCCAACGCAACAGAAAAGTATAAAGAATTTTTAACAATCTACCTTTAATCCTGCCACCCAGAGATAAATAATGTTAACAATTAGAGGAATGTCCACTCAGATATCCATCATGCATATTTATACAAACACATGCACAGTTTACACACTGACATGTACAGGCTGTTAAAGCTGAAAACAATCTCACAAGCTTGAAGCCCAGCTGCATAATGATCCCTGCATTAGTGCTACGACTGCCATAGAAAAATACCATGGACTGGGGCACTCAAACAACAGAAATTTATTTTGTTATAATTCTGGAGGCTAGAAGTCCAAGATCAAGGTGTCAGCAGGTTTGAGGCCTTCTGTGACCTCTCTCCCTGGCTTGTAGAAAACTAACTTCTCACTGTCATCCCTCCATGTGTATCTGTGTCCTAAACTCCTCTTCTTATAAGGACATCATCAGTCATTGAATTATAACCCACCCTAACAACCCCATTTAACCCTTTGCACTCGCTTGCTTTTTTCTCATTAGCCACTCGACATTATCCACACTTGACATCCGAGTGCAAAGGGTTAACCTTAATCTCCTCTTTCAAGGCCCCGTCTCCAAATACAGACACACACTCTGAGTTGCTTGATGTCAGGACTTCAACATATGATTTCTGGGAAGGTCAAAATTCCAGCTCAGAACAACTGACAAAGAAATTTTCACCCCTTTCCTTTCCTTTCTTTGCAGAGCTGACTCCAGAAGAGAATGATCTCCTCCTGTGTTGTGATGCTTTCAATCTGATGTTCTCACACTGCAGGAAAGGAACTTCTAATCAGATCCAACTGCACAAATTCCTGATCTGCAGCATCTCTGAAGATTGGGGAAGAAACCTTCCTTTCAGGAGTTTATGGAGTTCAGCGGTGCCATAGGCAACAGGTGCAGAGGAGCTCAAGAGCGACAAGCATACACATCTATTTTTTACTTTTAGGAGTTTTGCTTTACTGATCTGAGCCTTCTGTGAAAGTTTATACATGTAACACATTCATTAATTTCCAGTGTAGCCTTCTGAACAAGACGTGAATTTGTCCCGTTTCTTTGCATGGCAACACAGACTTGTAGTTAGAGCAAGTTCAGTAAATAGCGGCTATGTGTGTGAAAAATAAAGAAATAATTTCAGAAATATGACTCTAATCCTCTTAATGAAGACTATACCTAGATGGTATAGATATCGGTTAAGTTGCATATAATTTACTTCCGGTTGCTGTAACAAATGACACAAGTTAGTTGGCTTAAAACAGCAGAAATGTGTTCTCTCACAGTTATGGAGGCAAAAAACCTGAAATCAAGGTGTCATCAAGGTTAGTTCTTTCTGGAGGATCTAAGGGAAAATCTGTTCGATGCTTCTCTCCTAGTTTCTTAAAGTTGCTGGCAATCCTTGATGTTCCTTGACTTGTGGACACATCACTCTGACCCCATCTCTATCTTCATGTGGAGTTTCCTTTGTATGTGTGTCCAAACTTTCCTTTTCTTACAAAGACAACAGTGACTGGATTAGGGCCCATCCTAACCAAGAATGACTTGTCTTAATTTGATTACATCTGCGAACACCCTATTTCCAAATAAGGTCATATTCAGAGGTTCTAAATGGACATGCATTTTGGGGTCCACTATTCAGCCCAGCACGGTCACTCCATAGCAATAGCAAAGAGCCGAAAAGACAGAGAAGTGGACGTGGAAGACAGCAACCTGTACACTCGGCAATTGAATTAAATCAACAAAGTTGGAAAGGACAGAAAATAAAATTTTATTAGGCATAGGCAAAAAGTGATTCATTCCCCTCCTAATTCTGTTTTGTCATACCTAAGAACACATTAATAATCCACTCCTTGTGTAATTAAATTGTCTCCCCATCTGGCCCAGTGATGCCAAATCCCAGCTGCATAATGGAATCACCTGGGGGAACTTTTCAGAACCACTGATGCCCAGAGATTATGGTGAAACTGGTCAGGATGGGCCCTGAGCATGTGGGATTTTAAATGTCCCTTGGCAATTCCAATGTGCAGCCAAGGTGGAGAAGAATAGCCCTAGATTAAATCAGAATCTCAGGGGTGTATCCCAGGTAATTCCCAGGAAATTTTATGTGCAACCTGGGTTGAAGACTACTAATATGGGCTCTATATGCATTTCATACAATTAACAAATACTTATTCATTGTCTCCCATGTCCCTAGCATTGTGCAAGACACTGGTTAGGGGAGAGATGAATTAACTGACTAGATCCCACCTCCTAGAAGCTCAGTGAAGTTGTGGAAACCAAAGAGACACATATGATGAGTGCATGAGATGACACAGAAGGCTGTGGGGTGGTGGGGTCCAGGGAGGTTTGCTGGTGTTGAGTTTCTAAAATATATGTACATCAGGTTTCTACTATAACGCACTTATCAAGTCTTGTTTCTTATAAAGGCGCTGTGCCCTTCCCTTGTCCCCTTTTATAATCCTCACCACATCCCTATGAGATAACTAGTTTTATTCTCAATTATAAACTAACGGACTTGAAGGATTAGAGAAGTTAGCTGTCCAGAGCTTGTGAGAATCAGGACAGCAGAGAATCCAGGTCCACCCAGTGCTAAAGCTCGTGGCTGTCAATACACAAACATCACAGGGTAAGCTGGTATTTGTCACAGACCATTTATAAAACTGTAAAGGAAAACAAATGCTTCAAGACATTGGATTTGGCAGTGATTTCTTGGATGATACCAAAGCCACAGGCAACGGAAAAAAAAATTGACAAACTGGACTTCATGAAATTTTAAAAACCTTTGTGTATTGAAAGACATTCCCAAGGAATAAATAAGCAACCCAAAGAATGGGCGAAAGTAGTTCCAAATCATATTTCTGATAATAGATTAATATCCAGAATAAAATGAGACTCTTAAAACTCAACAACAACAAAAAGACCTAATTCAAAATGGTGAAAAGACTCAAAGAGACAATTTTCCAAAGAAGATATACAAATGGCCAATAAGCACATGAAAATGTGCTCAAAATGTGCTCATAATTAAGAAATGCACAAAAAACCACAATAAGATATCACCTCACAACTATTAGAATGGCTACTATCATAAAAAGCAGAAAATAACAAGTGTTGAGAATGCAGAGAAAGGAGAATCTTTGTGCATTCTCGAAGGGAAGGTAAATGGTACAGCTGTTATGGAAAACAGTCTGATGGCTCTTCAAAAAATTAAAAATAGAACTACTATATGATCTAGCTGATCCAGCAATTCTACTTCTGAGAGTATATGTACCCAAAAGAATTGAAAGCAAAGTCTCAAAGAGATATTTGCACATCTATGTTCATAGCAGCATTATTCTCAATAGCTAAAGTGTGGAAGCAACCCAAATGTCCATCGGTGAGAGACATGGGTAAGGGAATGTGCTATATATGGACAATAAAATATTCACCCTTAAGAAGGAAGGCAATTCTGACAAACACTATACCATGGGTGAACCATCAGGACACTACGCTAGTGAAATAAGCCAATCACAGAAGACAAATATTTCATGACTCCAATTATGTGAGGCACCCAAAATAGTCAAAATCATAGAGACAGAAAGTAGAATACTGGTTGCTAGGGGCTGGAGGGAGGTAAGAATGGAAAATTAATGTTTATTGGGTATACATTTCAGTTTTGTAAGATGAGAAGAGTTCTGTAGATGGACGGAGGTGATAGTTGCACAACAATACATATTAATATAATTAATTCCACTCAAAACTGCATACTTAAAATGGCTAAGATGGTAAATTTTACATTATGTGTATTTATCACAATTTTTAAAAAATTTAAAAAAGGAAAGAAAATTATTTTTACCAGATTGTATGAAACAACTAGATATCAATACAAAAAAAAGAAAGAAAGAAAAAAAGAAAATTGATCATTACCTCATACCACACACAGAAGTTAATTGGAAATGGATCATGTACCTAAATGTAAACAGTGTTCTCTCCTCGAATACTGGCTGTCTTGCTTTCCCTCCATGTTTCCCATCCACCATGTTTCCCATCCATCATGTTTCCCATCCGCCATGTTTCCCATCTGCCATGTTTCTCCATCGGTCAACCTATTACCTCCCACACCCAGACCTTCTATCCAGACAATTATAGGGGCCAGGGCACAATAACAAAACTTATAAGTTCAGTGTTGGCCCTTACTGTTTCCTAGCTGTCTCACAGTAAGTGTACCCTAAGGTATGCAGATTCTTCCAGCTAATCATAATCCTTGTGCTCTATAATCTTCCATATCCAACAAACAAAACCAGGTGGGCGCAGAAACAACATATCGCAGTCATCCTGTCTGTGTTGTCACTTATGATGCCACTGATGATGAAACCAGTCAGGCTTTCCAGGCAGTAAGGTCAATAGGAGAAAAAGGTAGGGGGCAGTGGTTGAGGGATTTTAGGGTAAAATCACAGATATGAAGAACCGATGTCTCCAACCCTCTTGTCCTGACTTTCTTCAAACACCTCCTCCAAAGGGAATGTCTCCTCTGCAGGTCGGCTGCATTGAATACTCACACTGTCTGCTAAAGATGTACAGGCCACGGGCTGATAACACCATGTGTCCAGCAATCATTTTCAGCCAAGTCTTTTAAAGTCTATCGCACTACTTGAGGGTGCCACCAACTTGAGAAAAAGGGAATGAAATGTCCTTTGCATGTGTTGTTCATTAGCCCACTACAGGGGACTAATGCTGGGAACAGTGCGGCATCATCTAACTGCAAGTGACCCACATAGTATAAAAATAAGGCAGAGCATAGTCCCAAGTCCCCATACTATGGTGTGGCCAGAAGCTACCAGCCTCACAGAACCGCAAGTCCATGATGACAGGTGAATGTCAAAGGCCAACAGATGGCAGGATAGAACCAATATCTTGTACTGACCAGACATGGGATGGACCCATTCCTAGAGTTAAGGGTCCTTGTTCACCTTTAGGCAGACACATCGACTGATGACAGGGAGCATGGTCCAGGTAGGCCATTTCAATCTCCTTGGCACATAGATGAAGGCCCAACTTTTGAGCCTATCGTGTTAGTGGCAGGATTGCCATCTCCAGTCTAGTGATGGATTGAGGTAGCAATGCCAGACACCAGGGCTGTGCAGGCCCAATCGCCCATGTTGTTCCGTTTGGCCTCATCAGGATACGTACCCTTCCAATGGACACCCACAAGGGAAGGGTCACACCAAGCTGCACCAGTGCTCAGAACCTCAAAGAGGGGTGTCCTTAGTAAACCATCCAGTTGTCACCCAATAGCTGGGTTGCCAGACACATGCAAGAGGAGGTGAAAGGGGGCATGTCTGGTTCTTAGGAGTACTGTCTAGGGCACGAGCGATAGCCTTCTATTTAGCCCACTGCGCTGTGGACTCCTCTTGCAGTAGCTCTTCCAGAGTTGTCTCTGGGGTTAGACGGCTGCTGCCACCAAGTGGACACTGTCACTTTTATGTTGGGCTGAGTCACCAGTAAACCAAGCCCCAGCATCCTCGAGGACTTCCTGGGAGTCGTCTCCAGGCTGCCAATGGCTGCCCCTGTGAGTAATCAGATCAGGAGAGGAACAAGGGGCCCCTCAACCTACCTGTATAAAGAGAATCATCTCTGGGACCAGACTTGCCCTTCTGGAATGCTCTCCTTCCACATAATATAAGAAATCGTGTGCATTTCCAACTCCGTCCTTGGGATTTGAGGGGACAAAATTGGGATGGGGCTATCTGGGTGCAATGGTATCTGGTAGTCCTCTCTAAGGCATTCATTCGGTCCCCACAAGTGCCCAGGAGCAGGACAGCAGCTGTGTCTCAAGTGGACGGAAGCAGGGAGCCAGCCAGAAGAGATCAGAATCTTGAAGGCTGAGTCTAGGCAGAGGCTGCCTCCCTTTCCCGGAGGCTCCGCTCAGCATGGTTATCAGCAGCACACACCTTGCAGTTCCCAAAGATCCTTGGGGTTTACAGGCCCCAAGGGCAGGGCCGCGGAGATACCTGTCAGACTACCTCTAGCTCGTGCGTTTTCCAGGTCCTCAGATCAATTTGGCTGATTTTCTGGATAATTTGTACATAGGGCTCAACAAAATACCTGCATGAAGCATATCTTATC